CGCCTTGGTGATCCCTCTCGTTGCTGGCTCACCCCCCTTCTCGGTGGGGATGTGAAAGGATGATGCGCCGTACGCTAGCGCTGACCGGATGCACTTTGAGTATACCTCTCGTGCTTTGGCCAGCCCTAGGCGCTAGAGACATTGGCTCCTGGGCAACCGACGAATGGATAGAGTCATTGCTGCTCTCCTGATGATGATGACACACGAAACCTCTCCTGTCATTGATGAATGTGTACCTGTTCACTTGCAGGAGTCGGCAGAATCCACAGCGTGTGGCAAAACATTTACACACCACACGTGTCTTCCCACCGCTCTAATCTCATTGGTAAGAGTCTGTTTCAGAGCCTGAGGACTGATTTGGGGCTACATGGGTATTGTTGATGCGTAGACACAACAATCGTGACTGTTGATGCAATTTGTCAACGAACTTGGCGCTTGCCACTGTAGGCAAACTAATACAGGCACATGCTGAGTCAGGCTTTGCAATCGGAACCTTATTCTGACAATCATTAGAAGTGTGTCAATCGTGAAGCTTTTTCAGGCTGCTGGGCCAGTCGGGTCTGTGGGCGTCCTTTTCCGAGTTTCTCGACCGTCGGTATGTGGGTCCTATGGAACGATCATGGCAGAACACTTGCAAGTTCGTTCTCTCACACAAACCAGGCTTCCAGTTGCTATCAGCCAGCACATGTGACTGATGCCGAGATTCTGAATGCCTTAACTGAATCATTACAATATCTGTGGACATAAGATATCTCTGCTCAATCCAGGGATCAATCGCCAGGAGCTCACCATCCTGCATGAGACTCGCTTTGCACAAGGCTCTGCGCTGGATTTGCATTGACTGGGGGTTCTTGTATACCAGTCGTCTTGATCAAGTTGTCGTGTCGTTTGTTCAAGGCGAACTCTCGGTGTTGAGCCTCATCTAATTCTTTACCGGCCGGCAGCAGCCACATCCCACTGTCGATGGGTCGCAACTTGAAGCTCTTCCGCGGACTTGACGATCATAGATTCCAACTTTAAGACTTCAAAAGTCCCGACCCCAAGTTACTTACGGAGAGTCGCTGCGTAGGGTGTCTGATTGGCCTCCCGTACTCCTCTTCCGTTAGGTAATCCGACTGAATGTTGTCACTCTGGCTTACTCAATTGCGATGGTTTTCAGGACAATCACTGATCGCAGTGAAACTCTCGCTCACTGAGATGGTGCAGATCACATCCGAACATGTTGGTTTCACCACCCACATGCGAGGGTGGGATCAACAGGTGGCACCAGTCGACACGCCCAGTTACCGGCACAACACAAGCATTCCACACTAGCAGATCATTTGTAAATCTCTCTAGGTCTTTGATTCTGTGTTTTGAGAATTTGAGAGTGAAGCGTAACAGAATGTGCACCGCTCGCCGTGGTCAGTGGCTGCCGGTAGCTTGCGTTTGAGACGCTTGCAACGCCTTCATGTTGTGTTTGTGGGGAGTTTCCATCTTGGCCATTCTTGGTATTATTTCGCATGTCGGGCCAATCCCATGACACTTCGACGACCTGCAAAGCCTTGTGTAACTCCACCTGCTACAACATCGACTTGCCATGAGATCTTGATCTTGAAACAGCAAACTGCCGACGCCTGCCAGCCTTCCACGGCAAACTGCTCCATAAACTGATAAGAAGTCCAGTTATGCCAGTGAACCGGGATCTGGCACCGTTGCTCCTTGGTCCTCTCGAGCTCACGAAATTCGACGCAGGGTTTATTGACCGTCCTGGGTCTGGCCTCCATAATTGGCGCTTGGCACAGGGATAGCGGCGCCTTGGCAGACGCAATTGCCGCCTCTGAATTGCCCGTCTCCAAGACTTCCAAGACCTCCAAGAGAGTGGCTATGCACCAAACCCCTTTTCGTTGGTTTCGGATGCAAGGGTCGGTCGTGTTTTAAGATGTCGGTGTCCCGAGAACAGGGGCAACCGGTTTCTTGCGCTTTTCACCAACTCCAACCCAACGCTGCTTCTTTCTCAGTCGATCGCTTGACCCAGGTTATTCCTGCTATTCACTTTTTGGCCATTTCGCTCGTTTGATGGCCGTTTGAATTTCTACACTTTAATTGTTATTGTAACTTTCACTCTCGGTTTGATTCTGGCAGCAACCTCTCCCGCGCATAAGATATTCGCCTGTACAACAAAATGAAGTCTGCAGCGCTCTTGTCCGCAGCGGCGGCCGCGATCGCCGTCCACGGCAGCCCAACTGCCACTCTGAGGTCCAAGCAGCGTGCTACCGAGCTCGATCCCATTACCGCGACCGGCAATGCCTTCTTCAAGGGCAGCGAGCGGTTCTACGTACGCGGTGTCGACTACCAGCCTGGCGGTGCCAGCGCCAACATCGACCCGCTCGCCAATCCAGACGTCTGCTTGCCCGATATCGAAAAGTTCAAGACGCTCGGCATCAATGTCATTCGTGTCTACTCGACCGATAACTCGGTGGACCACGACGAGTGCATGAACGCCCTCGCCGACGCCGGCATCTACGTTGTGCTCGACGCCAACAACCCCAAGTATTCGATCAACCGCGCCGACCCCCATGGCTCGTACAACACGGTCTACCTGCAGAGCGTGTTTGCCACCATTGACGCCTTTGCCAAATACTCCAACACCATGGCCTTCTTCTCCGGTAACGAGGTCGTCCACGACCACCTGAACACGACGCTGGCCGCCAAGTACGTCAAGGCCACGGACCGTGACATGCGCGCTTATATCAAGGCCCGCGGCTACCGCAAAATCCTGGTCGGCTACTCGGCCGCCGATGTCACCACCAACCGCATGCAGACGGCCGCCTACTTCAACTGCGGCAGCGACGAGGAGCGCAGCGACTTCTTTGCTTTCGTAAGTTTCCTAGCGTGATGCTGTTGTGTCGAAGTTACCGTATCGGGTGCTAACTTCGCCCCAGAACGACTACTCGTGGTGCACCAGCGACTTCGTCAGGTCCGGGTGGGATAAAAAAGTCGAGCTCTTCACGGGCTACGGCCTGCCCATTTTCCTGTCCGAGTACGGCTGCAACACCAACGAGCGCAACTTCGGCGAGCTTGAGTCGCTCATGCACAGCAACATGACGAGCGTCTACTCGGGCGGCCTTATGTACGAGTACACCATGGAGGCCAACAAGTACGGCATTGTTGAGATCGAGGGCGGCCAGGAGAACGGTGGCAAGGACCAGACGGGCGAGCGCAAAGAGCTCCCCGAGTTCGCCGCCTTTTCCAGCGCCCTCGCCGCGTACCCTGCCCCGACCGGCGACGGCGGCTACACCTCGACCACTACGTCCCAGGCCTGCCCGACCGCCGACGAGCACTGGGCCATTGAGGAAACCACTCTCCCCGAGATTCCTGAGGGTGCCAAGAAAGTTTGTTCTCCCTTGTGGCCATAATTGTTGGTGGTGAACGCGTGGCTAACCAAAAGTTAGTTCTTTACCCAAGGCGCTGGGAAGGGCCCTGGCCTCAACGGCGACGGCTCGCAGTGGGCCACCGACCAGGCCTCGACCAGCGAAGGCGGCACGGCCAGCGGCAGCGGCGGCAGCGGCACCTCGAGTGGCAAGGCCAGTGCCTCTTCGAGCAGCGCTGCGATCCGGGGTACCGTTCCCGCTGCCGACATGGCGCCACTGGTCATCTCGGGCGTCGTTGCCATGCTCACGCTCGTCGGCGCGTTTGCGTTGTAATTCACGTCTTGGATTGGTGGGTGGCATTGGCTTGGAGTACTTCACATTTAATATACAAGGCTGTCAGGCATACTTGAGTGTACGCTTCTTTTGGAAAATCGAATATTGTTGGTTTCTTCTCGCATTGTTGGCTGCCGTTTTCATGGGTGATAGGGCCGAAGATGACGCATGCTGGTAAGCAAGGCACTCAACCCCCCCACCTGAAGCTGAGATATACGGAGAACCAAAGTGGGAATGGCGTTGCGGTGTGCAGTGAGCATGCAAAATCTGCTTGCTGGGGGCCTAGCTTCCCCCCGCCGAAGGTGCATTTCCGAGTAGGATGCTCTGAATTATCTCTGCACCTCCATCACCACCAGCAACGACCACAAGCTCGCTTCGTTCTCCGTCTATGCTTCTCCCCGTCCTTCAGGATGACCACCGATTCGGACTCGATCTTGGCAACCCCATAAAGCCAGCTGTGCACCGTCTGCTTCAGTTTCGATTCTGTATCTATGGGAACCTGACGGGGTAGACACAAGCAAGACCTACATAGAGTTGTTTCGGAACAACAACGCCCCATGCCCATGGCCATTCTTTCTGGAGGAACGGGCTGTCCCACCACATACAGCGTCCCAAGAAAGTCTCACCTGGGTTGCGAACCAGTTGGACTCTTGTCTCGCCAATCACGCAGAGTGCAACGCTGGTTTGGATTCCTCTCCGCTGCCTACCAGAGTCATCGATGTAGGCATAAGTTTTGGTGACGGCGACCCGGTCAAAGTTCTGGAAACCAACGGCCTAAGTGGAAAGTACTTGACGCTCAGTCACTGCTGGGGCGACCCTGATCTCATGCCGACGAAACTCACAGCGCGCACCCTTGAAGAATACAAGAAGGGAGTCCCTTACGACTCGCTTCCGCGGACCTTTCAAGACGCAGTCACGTTCACCAGGAAGATGGGAATTCACTATCTCTGGATCGACTCTCTTTGCATCATTCAGCCTGAATGTGGCCAAGACAGCAAACTCTCGGACCAAGACTGGGAACAAGAGATTGGCCGCATGAACGATGTGTACAGAAACTCGCACCTCACACTCGCCGCTGCGACTTCTACGTCATGCACCGGCGGGCTCCTGTTCGAGACAAAGACCACCGACATCAGCGTTCCCGGGGCCGCTGCCAAAGACGCCGAGCCCTACCAGATCTTTGCCCGCAAAAAGTCAAAGCACCTGCAATCTAACTGGGCCCTCATGAAGCGCGGCTGGGTCGCTCAAGAGTACTTTCTCTCGCCCCGGACCCTCCTCTTCACCGACACCGAACTGGTTTGGCGCTGCCGCAAGCACCACACCTGCCAATGCAGAGCGGGCCCGGCCTCCCAATCGCCCTGGGAATATACCAAGCTACTGGAGCCAACCGTCTTACATCCCACGCGAGACGAGCTCGCGAGGCTGTGGTACATCTTCATCAACAGCTACTCGGTAGCGTCGCTGTCCTTCCAGACGGACAAACTCGCCGCCGTCGACGGCATCGTCCAGTACATGCGTCCGCTGCGAAACAGTGAGAACATTGCAGGCTTGTGGGCCGACACGTTTGCGTTAGACTTGCTCTGGATGCCCAGCACAAAGGCCAAGAGGTCGCGATCCAGAACGGTCGCCGAGCCGGCGACGGCCCAGAGGCGCAGACCTGTCTGGAGTACCCCCGAGCATCTTTTTCCCACGTGGAGCTGGGCTTCGGTTCCTTACAGTGTCTGTTGGCCGGGCAGCGTCAACTACCCCTACCCGTTACCCAAAGTCCCTCTTCCACAAGGTACACTTGTGACGCTCGTCGACCAAGACAGGCGGGCCGGAACCCCAGCAAACCGGGTCACGATACGAGGGACTCTGGTCACAGCTACACTGGGCGAAGTTCGGAAGAATCCGGAAGGAAAAAAGGTGTGGTATCATTCCGATTGCGAGGACGACGATGTCTTAGGAGACGACACCGTGGTTCATTGCTTGAGGGCTTCCTGAAGGCGAAGAGTACTATTCGCTTACTCTGCGCCGCCGAGAAGAAGCAACGAATGTCTATGAGAGATTGGGAGTCCTTTTCGCGCAGGAGAGAGAACGGAGACTCGCCTGCCAGGTGGTGGGAGGCTGTTGAGGGCTGGGAGGGCGAAGAGGTCACTTTGACGTTGGTATGAAAGGGGCATAGATTTGTCATCTGGCTCAGCACTGAGGATGTCGTTTTTGTTTGGTCACACTATACAAATGATCAATCGGACGATCTGTTTTCTGAACACAAGTATCCCCCTGTAGTCTTCTATGAAAGAGTTGAACCAGCACAGGAATCATGTCATGAATGTGCCCCAAATCTAGTCCAGGAAATTGCTTGCGTCTATCCTCAACCCCTGCGGTCTGTCGAGAATTCCAACCAAAATGCTGATTCCAACTTGGGGTATTGAACAAAGACTTGGGCCCCGGGTCAAACCATCTCAAGACGGCACACAGACTCAGAGTCATTACCTGCGGGTAGCTCCCCACCTCGCTTCCCATTCTTGGAAACATCTCTTCCATCATTCTCTCGTTTCTTCGCTTTTCTAATTCACAGCACAGCCTTGTTGAAGGTCTCCTGCCGGCGTCAGCAACACGTTGGTTGTGCAGCGGGAGCAGAAAACGTCGTACCTTATTTCAGCGGCGGGTACTGCGACGCAATTGGGAGATGACTGAGCGCAACAGGGTTGAGGCTAGCTTGGGGAAGTGGTATCGTGGATGTGACGGCAGAGAAGGCATTGCCGGATGATCAACGTGCAAACGCACATTTCTCCTGCTTCAAGATTTCATTGTTTTTCTTCCCATTCTACTTGATCGGATCTTCCCCCCGTCTGGAATTCGGGAGTTCTGTGACTCGTTCTTTCGTGTTTTACACGAAAAAATAGTGGGTAATGGAAACTATTTATATCTAAACGACTCTAGGAATGATTACGAAGATCACCATTGGTTCAGACGCTTCTTAAAGTGGGCTAATTGTCTTCTGACGTAGAAGCACAAAGAACCTCGTTCGTAGTACTACTGTCATAAAACTCAGCAGAGTTTAGCAGAGTTTTATGCAGACGGTAGTGTTTTTATAAGTGGATCCGGGATGCTACCTAATGCTTGGTTGCCGTTCGGGACCGTTTCAGTCCGTGCCGCTGGCTCCCTTGAGTCCCTTGACTAAGGTATGTAATAGTCTCAATGAGCTGATAATGAGACCTTGCCATAGCCGCCAAGTCTTCACTCCTTCCCACGAGCAAACCGAAACCAACGGTGCTGGATGGTCAGATGAGCTGACAACTCTAGCAACTCAGCGCTGAGTTACCTTGTCTACAGGTTCTGTCAGTCCAGGTACGTTTCGGATAGTATCGGCGCGAGCCTATTACGCATTTGGAGCAGCCACCGCCAGCGTCTGCCACTGAAACCGCACAATAACGTTGCAGGGTGTTCAGCCACAAATCAATAGCCGGATGAATCAGTCCAATGACATTCCAGCAAAGGCGAACTCTTGCATGGGATTCCATCTTGTATTCCAGGGGGATGCCTCTGATTGCTCAGTTACTTGCCGGACGGCTGAAGCTGAACCTCGAGCTGCTCACAAAAGGTATATAGTTCTATTTTGGCTTACCGGTGACAGAGACCTCAGCGGTTAAATCAGAGGCTTAATGGATGACGGTCGTTCGTTGTTTCTGGCGGATGCCTCCTCGCTATTTCAGTCGAATCACCACAACCTTATAACTACCCATTCATACTTCTTACGTACCTTAGATACTCTAATACCATATAATCTTCGCAAGCTCCAGACTGACCACTCCGATCAAAAATCCGACTCAACAACAATGAGACTAATGGCAGTTTCCCTATCGCTCATCAGCATCCTCTCTTCCCTTGTCGCCCCAACCGCAGCTCAGTTCCTCTGCACCCCGGGTATCGCGACTCCGGTCAGCAGCGGCGCCGGCGGAAATCCCGACCTCTACTCGCAAATCGCCGAGACGGGCTGCAAGGTCGCCGGGACATGCAAGCATAAACGTGACGATTCGCTCCCGCCGCAGTCCACCAAAACCCACCACCATTCGGGACGACCACCACCACCACCACTGCCAGCACCATCACAACGCCTTGGAGGACAACAGCAGCCTGAGATCCGAGTCTCTCCCCGCCAGGGTGTCTCGGTCAGCTGTCCCAGCGCCGGCTTCGACTGCTACTATGCCATCGAAATGGGCGGGCTCTTCTGCCTGAGCATGAACGGCGATCTCGTCACCGAGGATGGCCTGTGCGGAAACCTGCTGACGGGGATGCAGTACGCTTGCGGTGGACAGCAGCAGCAGCAGGCAGGAGGAGGAGGTGGTGGGTCGGGGGGGGAGTCTGCTGGTTCTTCTGGTACTGCTGCTGGTTCCGGTGGCGGCACGGGTGATGCAGGATCCGGCGGGGCGGCGGGTTCGGGGTTGGGGGGTAGCAGGGGGAGGCCGAATCAAGGGAGCAGAATGGGGTTGGAACGCAGGTTCCAGTTCTGGGTCATAGCTGTGCTGGTGATGACACTTTTGGTTCTCTAAGGGGGTGGAGTGGCAGACGATTAAAGAGGCAATCTACAACTGCTTGGGATAGCCGTACTATGCGTTAAGGGGTCTTGTTTCTTTCTGTTCACATGTTGCTCAGATATTCAACGCATTGCGCCAAGAATGATAAATGCCCCTATCCCATTAGAATGAAAGCGGACGACACCCCAGCCCTTGAAATCCAAGATTATGGCATCGAGGAGTTACCATGCCGTAAACTACGGGCGGTTGCCTACTAACGTGTCTCAACCAGAAGAGGTAGCCTTCAAGGGAGGTCCTCATCAGACTAAGTTCGTACATAAGGTATCTGGTACCTGAATGAGGCATCACACTGTGCGTGGATGCCGGTTTGAACGAACCAACAACTTGCGCGGCTGCCAAAATGACCTGATCCATAAACAGCAGGAGTATGATACTCCCAAACTTAGCGGGATGAATTAGCTCAATGGTCCGCAGAGCTGATGGCTGGCAGGGAGTCCCAAAAAAGTGTAGTTCAACCACATCAGCCCTATCTCTTCGAAGTTGCTTGTCAAGTTGAAGAACACTCCATGAGCAATGACGAGTCAGGACGCTTTAGCCCCCCGAATGAATTCGACAGCGACTATCCATTTCGTAGCGAGATCATGAGCGAGACCCCAGTCGGAAGGCGGAGAAAAATTGGATTCGTGGGTTATTCTCCCGAGCTCCCGAGCGGGAAGCGATGCCGAAAATCGATCCCTCCGAGCTGTCCGGCGGGCCAAGATGGTTAGCACATTGTAGGGACAGCCAGACGCTTGGGACGTCGGTAGTATCACCTGCATAGGAAGGATGTGGGGAAGGTCTTGAAACAAACCACGCGGGCTTGGCGTGTCACATCGCCCAAATGCTACCGTGGCATATTGGAGGGTGATCAAGGCGACTCCGGTCTAGTGGATTGTGGATTCGGCAATGGCTGATCGAGCCCTTCCCGGGCCTTACCGTTCGAGGCGAGGCGGAGGGAGGTGACCGAATGTGATTTGGAGATTCTCCGCCAGAGGGAAGCGAGGGATGATGCCATCATTACCCCTGGGCGCCATCCCATGATGGGCCATGGCGATAAGGAGCTTGACGGGGACGATGTAATCGCTGAACATAAAAGTCTGAGTGTTTCTGCTCTATTGTTGACTTTGTTGGACTACCTAGGTTGTGCCTCAACAGCTTTCCTTCTCATTCGTTTCAACGCCATCAGGTTGGCACTTTTCTTCACTCGTTTATTTAACCTTCATCCACCTTACCTTACCTTACTTCAGTCAAGCATTCAAGATGAAGTTCCTCGCTGTTGCCTCTCTTTTGGCGATCGTCTCGGCCGCACCCACGCCAACCCAGCCGGAGTCTGGCACCCCTCTGTTGGCCAAGAGAGCTGGCATCTCGGATGCAGCCAACCTGGGATACGCCACGCTGAACGGAGGCACAAAGGGTGGTGCCGGTGGCACCGTGACGACGGTGTCAACGCTGGCCCAGTTCACCGCTGCCGTCAATGAGAAGAACAGCGCCCCGGCCATTGTTGTCGTCAAGGGCGTTATCACCGGTAACACCAAGGTCCGGGTCGGCAGCAACAAATCCATCATCGGGTTGGGGCAGGGCTCTGGTTTCAAGGGCGTTGGCTTGCACTTCAGGCGCCAGAAGAACCTCATTGTGCGGAACATTGTCTCTTCATTCGTCGAGGCCGACCAAGGTGATGCCTTGAAGATCGAGGTATGTGTTGGGTTCTGGCCCCGAATCTGGTTGTGAACACACGAACTAAGAGAATCGAATTCCAGGAAAGCACCAATGTCTGGGTCGACCACTGCGAATTCTACTCGGCCCTCGTGTCCGACAAGGACTTCTACGACGGTCTGGTCGACTCCTCGCATGGCTCTGACTTCGTCACCATCTCGCAGTAAGGCTGACCCATTGTTGTATGGCAACCTCTTGTTTTGAACCAGAGCGCTGACATCAGCCAGCACCTTCTTCCACGACCACTGGAAGGCCTCTCTCGTTGGACACAGCGACAGCAACGCGGCCGACGACAAGGGCAAGCTGCATGTGACGTACGCCAACAACTACTGGAAGAACGTCAATTCGCGCGGCCCGCTGATCCGCTTCGGCACGGGACACATCTACAACTCGTACTTTGAAAAGTAAGTTATAACTTTCTGATCAGTGATTATCCTTGTCAGTAACAAAAATGAAGAAATGAGCTAACCAGGAGATGATTACAGCGTCGAATCAGCCATCAACACGCGCATGGGCGCCCAGGTCCTCGTTCAGAGCAACGCCTTCAAGAACGTGACCTACCCCGTTGCCAGCATGTACTCGAAGGAGGTTGGGTAAGTCGACTTCTGTTCAGATCTTGTGAGGACGAGAACTGACCATCGTAACAAACTGTGCGCAGGTACGCCACGGTGAGCGACAATGACTTTGGCGGTGCCGCCAACACAGCCCCGGCTGGCAACATGTCTCCAAGCTCGGTTGGCTACTCGTACTCCCTCCTTGGCTCCTCTGCGGTGGCAGCGAAGGTGCCCAAGGAGGCCGGCGCCATCCTGACCTTTTAAAAAAAATCGCGATTTGGGATCGAGGAAAGAGAATGCTCTTATCTGGAATTGTTCCCGGGGCACTCATGAGTCAGTGACCCCTGATACGGGCCGAATCAAGGTGACAGAGTTTCTGTTTGGGGTTACATGCGATGTAGCCGGCGTCGATGGCAAGCTTCCCCGCGCATTACCTTGGGCAGTTAACTTGCCCAGGAGTGCTGGCCGCCGTCCAGGAAAGAAGGGGCCGGTTTCCAATTGAAACCTGTTCAGTCGTGACAGGCCATCCATCGACCTGTTGAAACCGTCGCTAGCCATATCTTTCGTGCCTCCACCCAGACAGAAATCCGTTCTTTGCGCCACCTTTGACTCAATGTCACGGTCACCGCGAGAAATGCGCAGAGGACGACCAAGATCGTGTAGAACATAAGCCGCGGCCTGGTTCAAGTCAACCGCTTTGGTTCTCACTGCTCAACCACTCCTAAGCAAAGAGGATGGCGTAAAGCCTCACAGACCGTGACCCAACTTGTGCTGGACTGTTGCGCTAGGCATCTGACAGAGGGTCAGTTGTACGTCTTGCGAACTTGAAATTCATGGTCCCAGGCAGAGTTTCCCGTGACATATCCTCCCGTTCCCCTCCCATGTACATATTAAACGGTACAACCTTCCGACAGAACTCCTGCTTTCGACGTTCCAGCCTCCCGCATCCGACCTGAACAAACCTCCAAACCACTTCACCAACTCCATCAATCGCGAACCTCGACCATGGCCTGGCAGCATCATCACGATCTCCAAGCCATTCATTGGCCGTGTGTGGTGCCCACCGTGTTCTGCCAGCCCATCGCGATCGGCGGACCGCACAGATTGGGCCTAGACTTCCCCGCCTGACCCCTTATTGGTGCCGGAGACGGAGGCCGGAGCAGCAGTTCAAATGTGTTACAGTACACACATGACGAGCAGTTCTGCGAGACATATCTGGCAAAAGGGTTCTGCGGTCTCGATGCCCCGTTCCTGGAGCAATTCGACTACGAGTGCCCCCAGGAGGCCATCCAACTCATTCTGGACGGTCAGAAATTCGCTATCGACATCAAGGACAACGCCACGAAACAACCACCGGCTTGCGCCAAGGCCGGGATAGAGATGTGAGCTTCTTGGATCTTTCAACCTGGGCAATTGAGGACATTAAACAGGTCTATTTCCTGATTCCTGTTAACTTTTCGTACTTCTTATTCTACTTCATGTTTTTGCTTTATTCGCTCGGGCTCCTACCTGAGTCCAAGTAGCCGCCGAAAGGGGAGAACGGGACAACTCCCGAGGTGAGTAATCCGCTTTATCTGCATAGAGGGTTTCGACGTGCAGTGCGATTCTGACCTTTTCTGCCCAGAGAGCGGAGCACGGCGCGGGCCCGGACGATGGCTCGCCGCCGGATATGGTGAAGCGGGAATACGGCGCCGAAATGACGGTGGAGGCTGACACGCCCGTCGTGATTGAACTCTTTCGAGACTCTGTCGATAAAATGATTTGATTATCTTAGCGTTTCTGACCCTGGGAGGAGGACTCCTCTTCGGTTGTTGAGGGGCAAATACAGAGAATAATCATTCGGGGCACGTTACTAGTGTGACTTCTTGTAGTACTTAGATAGCGACGTAGTCTGGGACTTACAGCGTGTTTGGCTATCCTCCTTCCTCAATCATAGGCGATTTACCTGACTCTCCTTCATACTCATTTCCATTGAAAGTAGTTGTGAACGCAAGTCATCCACTACCACAACATACGGAAGATATCTTGGATTTCGTTGGCTTGGGGAAACTTGACAGTCAAGGAACCATCAACTACGTGGTCAACCCGCATGGCCGGCACGGTGTTATTCAAGGGAAGATCGGTGACAGGGCTCGGGGTGCCAAATTCCAGGGTGTTTTGTACTGATTAGAATAACGAATTCGCTACACCAGCAAACAGAGATGTTTTCGAAAAGGCAAACCTACCAGGTGGGTAAGATTGGATGCTACAATGTTGCTAGCTTGGGAAGGCCAGTGTTTGAGGGTGCGGACAAAACTGCCGATTCGGGAGCCCGACTCTTGCTTCCACAGCCTTCGTCTGTTGTATGCTGATTACGATTTGACGCTGAACAGCCAACCTTTCCATTTGTTTCATGTTTTGGTTGACTTGGTTGAGGATCAGAATGCTTTTGAAAAAAAGAGAACGGGTGCGAAAGTCGTTCACGGCGGCGTGGGACGAAGGTTCGGGAGGTGTTGTACTCATTGCGTGTTGCGCCGCTGAACCTTTCCCAACAGACGAGGAATCTATCCATTGCTCACGAGATTTTAATCCGTGCTACCGGGGTAGCTCGCCAGCGAAGGCGTCGAAATGTCGAGAGAGGATGCTAGTGGGAGGGTGGAGGACTCGATACAGTAGACTGGCCGTGGGCCTGGGAGGTAGGCATTAGTGGCACGCCGGTGGATGGACGAAACACGACAAATTATGCCTACCTCCCACTCCAACTGCGAGTTGAGAAAATGAAGCAATTGTTGTGCATCGTCCTCCTCATCTCCTAGCGCCACCGACGGTCCTTTCCGCCTGTAGAAAGGAAACTCAAAGTGTGCGGGGTAGAAGCCGGCATACTCCCAGTCGACGATGGCAGCGATCCTGAGCGTGTCCGGGTTGACAATAACGTTGTGTTGCGAACAATCGTTATGACAAAAGACGTATTCGGCATGCGTCGACGTACGCAGTCGCGACCAGTCGTCCCTCTCCGTCTCGCATAGCACTCGGTAAGGGGGTATCACGATACCCGAGGGCCCGCCCATGCGGTTCGATGTCAGAGTCTTGAGTTGGGCGAGGTAGCCTTCGAGCTCGGCGATGACGACATCCTTTTGGTGGTCGGGCAGGTCGGCCATGTTGACGCCCTCGACGTACTGGGTGATGAGGTAGTAGGCGTCGTCATCTTCGAAGTCGCAGAACAGGAGGGGGACGGGGATCTCGGTGTGTCGGCTTATGAAGCGCAGCGTGTCGGCCTCGTTCTTCAGAGATTCCTTCCGCAAGCGAGGGATGTGGACTCCTTGGTGGCCGAGATGCAGGAACTCGCGGGGACGGAGACAGCGCTTGATAAACGCGTTGCCGCGGCGATAATATTTCCTGTCGGTGCTAGTAGCTAAGCAACCCTCCTCGGATGTCAAGGTCGGCCTTGGGATCAGCGGTGGCTGTGGTCTCGGAGCCGCCATACTGGCCCTGGTTACCTAGCACCGCAGGGGCCAAAAAAGCAATGGCGCCAGTCATATGATGGTGAGCAGGAACAGTAAGGTCTGAATGCCCTGCGTCTAGGCGCGCCGACTGATGTCGAACCTTGAAGTTTTCCATGCCAGAGCATGGGGGCGGGGCGAAGGTGGCGTGGGAGGGAGGGCAGCTGTCGTCTCTCTGTGGATGATTATCGCGGGTGCTGCAGGTCTGGTTGCAACAGTCCCGTCGTACAAGGGGTTGAGGATCGTTTCCGAGTCGCTGTGGAATGTGCAGTGGTGTAATGCTCCCGCGGAGGGGCTTGGCTAGAATGGGGTCACCGCGGGTAATTCGTGCGAAACACGCATGCCAGCGTAACTCGGATACGACCTGGATAAGATTGATCCAGGGGCTGGGGATAAGAGTCGAGGCCTTTGATGGAATCCTCAGCCTGAACGATTAATGCCCAAGCAGCCCAAGCACGCCGTGGTCGCGGAAGGCGCGGGAGGCGATTTTCTCCAACAGAAAACAGAACCGTTCTTGCATGCCAGATCCTGCAAGGTAATCAGAAAAGAGCAGCGTCCGGGTTGCCCGTGCCAATGGATCTCGTCTTCAGAAGTTTACGGCAGACGAGCCCAAACTGGGAGCTTCTGGAATTATCGTTCTCTCCCGAAGCTCAAACAAGACGAGGAACGAACGAAAGGCAACGGTGACAGTTGGCCGGGTTTGCCCCACTGCTGAGGGTGAGCTGCCGTAGGCCCGGAGCGACTTCGATTCAGGTTCCATGATATTGTCATTTGTCACGCCAGAGAGAGCGGGGCGGGGCATTGCATCGTCCGTCCCTTCCAATGGGTGGATGATGTTGTGGCCTGCTGTTCTGGCCGTTTGTTTCGTAGTTCCCTTCTCATTGGCTCCTCGGCACGCATTCTGTTCGTCAGAAGGTTGCTTCAATGCGACCGTGGCGAAGATATCGAGATAGGCGCGAATAAATCAGGGGACTACAGACTCTTTCGTTGCGGTCGTCACCCGGCGATGTTGCACCCACTGATCTTCCTTTGCCAGGATGTGGATACGTCGTCCAGAACTCTGCTATGACTGGAGTACTCGATAAAATACGAGCAAACATGTCGATGAATCTGCCACGCTATTTGATAAATTACGATATCGATAAGCCAACTCACCTCGATGTTCTCGGCTTCGAAGTTCGAGTCCTCAAGGCAGTCGAGGTTTTGCCAACAGGGGTCTACAGCCGTGATCATGACTTGGAAGTTTGGAAGCTTGGAGCACGCGTTTCCATGATCGATACTTTCCTTAAGGTCGAGCACATCGGGCCCAGAAGGTCGCAACACCCTTTTTGTTTTGCTCTGTTACTTATTTGCGTCAAACCCCCTGCACAGCGGCCTCACGCGGTCACTCACCACACCCGGTGTGGCACACTGTCTAATCGTGGAGATTGGGACGATCATAATGAGGTCGTTGGATAACGTAATATCATTGCCGGATTAATCATGCCGACATTTTCCCCCTTTGCTTTTGCGAAAAACAGAAACATGGGGTTTTTTCCCCCTGCCACCTCAGCCACATGGTGTTCGCAGGCCTTAAGTTAGCCATGACCATCACCAGGCTCTTGTTTGACATCAGGCCCGTCAGAAACCCGGGAAGTCGGGCAGTGAGGATCCGGCAACGTAGATGAGGCGCCACAATTGTTCATCGCTCAGCCGTTTGCCAGAGCGGGAGTCCACTGCAAATCTGGATTATGCAGGCGGTTCTAGGGTGTTTCGGCATCGTCGTGCTTCGCTGGACACCGATTGTCACTCTGGTTACCCGCGTCAACGACACCTCCCGAGGATGGATAAGTGAGTCCGGGCCCTTTCGCCATACCGGTCTATAATTTCTGAAATTTCCTGGCGTCATGCCGTCCTCGACGCCTACACTGTGGCATCGTGCTACACACGACTCATCTTGGTAACCGAGCCATGATATGGACTTCTGGACCATGAGTAGCCTAAGATATAGCCGGGGTCATCTCACTTTAATGTCAGTTGTGGCGCGATACCCATTGGAGCCGGAAGAAATACCTACCTTAGGTAACCTACTTGTCCAATCGATCGCCGGTAGCTACTGCGAAATCAACACGACTCAGACCTATGCAATTGGTGATCCATGCCCTATCTCGGGTCAACATCCCTGGATACTCTTGCATGATTGCCGACACCAAGTCACACTCTCTGCGTGTTTGCTGAGCTCGTGTCTGCCCTATACAGTTGTTGTTTCTTTGAAAACTGCATACCAGTCCGCGAAAAAGGATTGTCCCCTTGAAAAGGACATGTATGAGTCTGAGCCTGTTGTGAGCGTGCCAATGGAGCGGACAAGACAACAAGAAGCAAAGCAAAGCGGGTTTGGTGGATTTGAACTGAGTGAGGTATCAACAGCCCTACCAACACGGCCGCTGTCGGGGGAACAAACTGGAAGAATAGGATGAAGGAGGAGGCAATGGGGTTCGAACATGGCGGAGTTGAGACCCTCGGTGGCTCGAGTCCCAGACCAAACAGTACCGGGGTAACCTCGAGACTGCAAAGGAGCAAAGGGACCACGGAAAAGCGTCATCTAGGCCCCGGGAGTGCATAGTTGAAAGGTGGAGTCTACTTTGGATGGACGACGAGATGACTGGAGTAGAAAGCGCGGTAGTGGGTTTTGTGGGAAGCCTAAATGCAGAGTGCCGCATGGCAACCTTGAAGGGCTGTGTGGGGGCGGAACGAGGTCAGGCCTGGTAAGACGCGACGCCGTGGGGGTGGGTCACTGTCTATGGGTATTTGCTGCATGGTGAACCAGTTGTTATTTCGTGTCTTGGTCATGGCGGGCGCGGTTGACGCGTCAATTCTGGGGGCCTTGATCAATTGTGACAGGCTTAGCCTCTTTTGGGGTTGGTTTTATTGTACTTTTTTTTCCTGAAGATATAGAATACAAGCAATACAGTCAAGCCAGCTCTCTGATCCTGACTCTCCATTGGCTCTAAAATTAGAATATGCAGCTCAGGCTCCTGTGACGAGTGTCGAGATGTAAAATGGCCTCCTCTGCCGCTAAGCCTGGTCCGATTTTCTATGGGCAGCTCATGTGTCGAGTGTAATTTTGGAAAATGGCCTCTCCCCTGCCGCTACAATTAATATGGTTGTTTATGTGCAGCTTCTGTGTCGACTTTCACAATGAAAATGGCCTTCTCTCTGCCGCTAAACCTGATCTGATTTTTTCGTGCTGCAGATGGGAGGCTTTTTGAATGACGTGCGTTTATGTCGAGGGGAGCTTTTTCATCTCGCACTGTTTCTGGAATTGGGTAGGTCGTGAGGTCGTGGCAAGAGATGTCAGATGCATTAGCTTGTGGCAGTGATAATGCAGGTTGGACAGTAGAGGCCTGAGCATGGAATTCTAGAATTGACGGTCCCTGAACTGAATGTGTATACAAGGACGGTTCTTGATCCAAATTATCTAACTTGACCGGATGTAAGGTCCAAAGTCGAAGGATGAAGTTGAGTCAAACGAGGTCACCCAAGGATTTGTTATGGAAGAGCTGAGATGGGGTAAGGCTGTTGTTATGCCAGGACGCCGCAGGACAAACCTTAATTATAGCCCAGCCAATCAGATAACACCATGGTGCCTGACTGAGAAGGTGAAGGTTTCAATCCTGGTTCATCATCATTTCTGTTGTTATCAAATTCACAAGGTTCAATGGGAAAGCATCTAACATCTGGAGCTTCTCCTTCATGTCTGTTTGCTACGTCATGCAAGGAGATAGTGCGAGTGTGACGCAGACATAGGCTCATCGTGCAGCGCACTAAGGGGTGAAAACGCGACTAGGCGATGCAAGGACAGATCAGGAGCAGATGCTGGACGTTCTATTTTAACTTCATACACTGTTCACTCCATTTAATTTTGAATGCCAGTATACAAAAGGCTTGGACGTGTTCTCCTGATTGTGAATGTCCTGGCTGATCGGGCGAGGTATAAGGACCGCCCCCCCCCAAAGTTTCGTTCCATCCTTTTTCTCCCACCATTCACAACTTTCATTCTTCGCCCTTTTCGATATTTTAATTCAAATATTGCGACCAAGAGGCTTTACCCAAAGTAAAAAGCGCTTCAATCGTAAAGTCAGATTTCCATGGGACTTGACCCCTCGCTGTCCCCACCCCTGGCTGCTTCTCCCCTCGCTGTCTTCATACTTCACTGTCTTCATCAGCTTGATGTCTCAACACTCTCGTGTCTTGGTTATCTTCCTTTTGCTTCTTCATCTTATACCATGCTGTCTTCGTTGCTTGGTATCATCTCAGCGGCATCACACCTCCCAGTCACTAGCACTTGCTTTCCATACACCTTGCATCAACAACACCTTACCACCCTCACATCTTGATGCTTTGAGGTGTTGGTGCTTTTACACCATTCACTGTTTCCCCCCGCCTCCTACTTTGCTGCCTTTACGCGCTTTTGCCGCTCATCACACATGGTCACATGGTCACTAACATTTGCAGACTCGCGACAAAATAAATCGCGCGCCCGCGCTCCTGGCCTTCGCGGCTTTTTTGCTCGGCTCCGCGTCAGCAACTTTTGGTCTGGTTGGCCCCATGGCGGCCATCAACGCTCTCGCGGCCGGCCCCCTGGCTGCCCTCCTCGCCGCCCTCTCGGCGGTCTTTTCGGCTTTTTCCTCGGCTGCCTCGGCGGTCATCGCTCTTTCGGTTCTCGTGGGTCTCTCGCTTTTTTCGGCCTCTGGTGCGCGCGGTCTCTGGTTTCGGTCTTCGGCTCGTCGCTGCTCTTGGGGGTTGATCCTCCTTATCGTCCTGCTCGGTCTTGTGGGTTCGGTTCTCGGCTCTCGCTGGGATCGTGGTCTTCTCGTCCGGCCGACTGGCATCGGGGCGCCCAACGGGGGTGCTCCTTTTACGATTCTCGGCTCGGCTGGTTCTTCGGTCCGGCGGTTGCGGGTTTACCGCAACAACGGCAAAGATGGTTACCTCCGCGGGATCGTCGCTTTTTTTTCGGACGGCACTGACCAGCGTGGCGGGGTCCGCAAGGACCAATTTGCGGAGCTCGCCCTGGACGACGGCGAGGTTATTACCGGGATGACACTCTGGTCCTCTTCGGCTTCCGGCTTCTCTCGTGGCTCTTCGGTCTCCCACGTGGCGCGCATCGACGTCACCACCTCGGCCCGCTCGTGGGGTTACGGCGCCGACAACACCGCCAAGTTGTCGGCCAAGGCTGTCTCGGTCGGTTCTGGTGTCCTCGTCGGCTTCCAGGGTCGCGCGGGCGACGATCTCGACCAGCTCGCGCCCATTTTCCTCAAGCCTCTCTCCGGTTCGCGCGTGGACGAGATCGTTTTTGATCCCATCGGGGGTTCGGATGGCCTCCGTCTCGTCACGCTTCGGGAAGGGTCGGCTTTGTGGAATGGCACGGACTATTCGTGGACCTTTTCGGGATCGGAGAGTCGGGAGGCTTCGACCTCCTTCATCATGGGTTTTTCCGGGAGCCTCAGCGTGGGCACGACTTTTTCTGCGGCCTTCCCAAGGATCGTCACGGCCGGCATGAACGCGGGCTGGACGTCGGGCAACACGGAGTCCCGCGACAGGAAATCCGGCACCGCCGCAAGCCTCTCCTGGAGCACGTCGATCGACTTGACGGTCGACAATCCGGCGGTCCAGTGCTCGGCAATGGTTTGGGAGGGACGGTTGAACATCGGTTGGTCGGGCGTCCAGACGGTCACGGCGGACGGAGCAAGCATGTCCTTCCCGGTCCTTGGCACGGTCCAGCACGTCGCATACGGCAAGGTCGAGACGGTCTGTAGTCCTCTCGTGGTGGACAGCAAACGGGCGGCTAAGAGATGGGCTGCTTGAGTGCCAGCTCTCCTCCCAGGAAGCGGTCGAGCCCGTGTTCTCTCTCTGGCTTGGTCTTATGGTTACGGTTAATAGATCTTTGTACATAGTCACTGAGGAGTGTGTGGCGTGGGATGGTTGGTGGGGTACACACCGTTTTGTCTTTCTTTGGCTTGGGCTCGGGTTATGGTTCGGGTCTGGGCAGAAGTATTGGGTTGGCGTTGTCCTGGTTAGAGTTGGCATAGGCTGGCATTGCCACTGATTGGTTGGCTTCAGGCACAGGACTGGAGTTTTGGTCGATGGTACTAGGCTCTCAACTACTCAATCATATCAACCCTTGAGTCCAAACACTTGCCTTGAGTCACATGTACACTGATGATGATTGCCTTCAATGATTGTGACTTACCAACGGAGTCAAACAGTTCAAGTCACTCGCTCTGGTAACAACATCACGTTTAGTATAAACCCTAGTTGCCCATCGTGCCTCATTTTTCCCACTTACATCTTCAGTCTACTTACCAATAGCAAATGGTTCGTTTGCTCTGTGGTTCTGAGAACAGTCGAATCGTTCAAAGTTGTACGAAGACTGAGTGCCTACCATGGTTTAAGCTTAACTTTATGCAGTATCAAGGGTTAAGGTACCTTATCAAGTGGCACTCCTGGGTTAATGGTAAATCCATTCGAATTATCTTGAGGACATCTTACGAGATGCAATATCACGTTGCGAAGCCGAACCAGTCTTGCTCCCAGCGTACAGTACCTGTATGTTTATTTCCCTTATCATGAGAGTGATCTTCGTCTCCCACCTCGGCCTCTGCAATCGGGGAAGGGCCTCTCCAGCATGTTAGTTCACCGCATGTGGAACAAACCTATCACTTGCTCTCTTCGCCAAGCTTTCCGAAGTCGCAGTCTAGGGCGGAATGCTCATTTGATCACTCAAGCCATCATCTGAGCTGTCTTCAAGGATCAAGCGTACTAGAACCACCTAAATAACAGAACCCAAACTCCTGGACATGGAACAGCTGGAATGCTTACATCAACTCTCGACCGGCGACCAACCCAATACATCCTCAAACCACTTGTCGTTCTCCAAATCCATCAAATCCATCCACGAAAAATCCTCCACATCCGGCACATTCCGTCCACTACCACTACTAATCCCGCCCTAATCCCCCCGACCTTCACAACCCGACCCATTTTCCTCTTGCCCCTGCCCCTGAACAGGAACAGCACTATCACCCATACTAGTAGTATGCCACCTCTCCTCAGCCCACACCCTAGCCCGCCCAAACAACCTCGCCATCGAACTGAACAAATCATTCCCACCCCCATTGCCACCCACGACCCCATCCCCAACCTCAACCCCGGCCGCCTCCACGCTCACCAAATTCATCTTCTCCCTCATCCGATCCAGCACCATCCGCAAATCCACCGTGTTCCGCACCGCACGCATACACTCCACCCCCGCCGGTTCAGCGAGGGGGTTCGTGGACAGGTGCTTCAGTATGGCGCTGCACCAGATACACTGGGCCCAAAAGTGCGCGGGCAGGCCGAGGCAGTCTGCCGGGGCGACGGAGTAGCGGGAGGAGGAGGAGGAGGAAGGGGGGCAGAAGACGCCAAGCCAGGAGCGGATGGATGCGGCACTGCGGTGGATGGATTCGAGGCGGGCGAGGTCTGGGCTGATGCCGATGCTGCTGCTGATGCTGCTGCCGGTGGGGAGGTGGTGGTGGTTGTCGAGGGGGTGGGTGGAGTTCGTGGACGAGGCAATCATGGAGGCGGCGGGGGCGGTGATGGTGATGGAGGGGGAAAGGAGGGCCAGGGCCGATTGGTCCAGGTAGATGGACGCGTGGTGGGTGTAGGCGAGGAGGATGGAAGTGATGGCTGCTTATCTTTTGTGTTATTGCCTGATTTCGACGTTGACGCGCTACTGGTCAAGATTCTTTGCGGAACTTGCCTTGTGGATGCGGTTCGATGGTGCTAAGCGAGTCTTGGAGTCCCTGCAGCTCGGCGCGCAGCGTGTTGAGGTATAGCAGGCTTGGAATAGAAGAAGTTGCGGTAGGAGGTGCCCTACTGAGGGACCGGTCTATCTCGTGCTGCTCCCGCACCTGTGCTGCCCGGTGTGTGATCAACTGCACTCGTACCTGAAATGCAAGTACTTCGTCCGTTGGACATGACCTGTTCGCCGTTATCACATTCAACGCGTCTTCCATCTGGGGCGTCCACCGCAAGGGGTCTATCCGCCCAAAGTGAGAGGAGATGCTAGTAGCGTACAGACTAATTAGCGACGGTATGATCTATCTGAAATGTCAAGGACGGCTGTGCATGCTGGGAGCTCAGTACAAAACATGCAAGCAGTGCTCGCTGCCGTTCCAGAAAAGCCTGAACCGTCTCGTCGCCGGTCTGATAATTCTCGGCGAAGCCCTGGGTACAGGCCACGATGGCCTGCACGTCGGGTCTGGACGGCTTGAACAGCCGCAGGTCAAATACCAGCGAGATGGCGAGCACCATCAGGCGGGAGAGGAGGTCCGCGCGACCAAGGAACGCGTCGGTGCTCCACGTGATATACGTTAATACTCCAAGCAACAGGTCCATGCTTGACTGGGCTTGCATCCAAGCAGAGCTGAAGACAAGGCGTTTAAACTCATCTATCCGGGGCAACCTTCTCTGGGTTGAGAGTGTGGTGACTGTGATGATAGCTTGAAAGAGGATTGGCCGGTCCTGGCGGAGCTGGCTAGCTGTCAAGGTAGAGGCCAGGCTTATAAAGGGGAAGTAAGGTAGCATCTGGGATCGGAAGAAACGAAGAGACCTTTCTGCCTCAGCCGGTGGCAAAGCAAGAGCTACCGCAGCGGGCGTGCGGCCAGTATCGATATTCGAGTTCGCACCTGCATTACCTGTAGTAGTGGAGTTGGTCGGGCTGGCTATTGACCGAGCAGTGGAGTTCGACATGCCGTCTTGGCCCAGCAAGAGACGCATGTCTGTCGGAGAACTGGAGCCAAGGAGCTGATGACAGAATGCATGGCGGTTGAGAGGACCTCAATTTTGGCTTCGAGCTGTGCGATACGGGCATCCGGGGTTGCGGCACTTTGAGCATTGCGCCGGCGAGCTGCGTCTGACGGCTGACAATCTTTCCCGAGGCGACGACATCTGCGCAGATAACGGATTGTCAGACATGCATATCCACACACCGACGAATTGACTCGAAGGAATCCACTGACCTTTTGCAACCACCACCGCTTGGATTTGAGACGCATCGACAATTCGTCTTGTAACATTGCATGCACGACTGACCATAGGTACTGCTGCGGCCAGTCGCTGCTCCACGTCTCTCCATATTGAAGTGGAATGTCGAGTCCGGATGTCCGCAGTAATGGCACTCCGCGTGAGTTTTCGGAGAGGTGTAAAGACGAGTGAACGGAACAGAATCCGGCGGGGTATCCGGCGGAGGCCGGCGTTCTTGGTTATTAAATGTCATCTGAGACGGAGTTGGCTTGCCGAATTCCGGTCGCAGTAGGATATAAGTGTCGGCGTGAAATAGCGGGCTGGTGCGCGCCAACATTGTCGAATACCCCATCTTATGGACCCTGAGAATAAAGCATGATGAAAAAGACCGTTCTCATCACCGGTTGCAGCTATGGCGGAATGGGATCCCATCTCGCCGAAGCTTTTCACGCCCGAGGCTTCCACGTATTCGCGACGCTCCGCAACACAGCAAAAGCCGGAGCCCTTGCCGACAAGGAGGGCATCGACATTCTCGACCTCGAAGTAACCTCAGCTGAATCCGTTCAATCATGCGCAAAAGCTGTTGGAAAAATCACCGGCGGCTCCCTCGACGTCCTCGTCAACAATGCCGGCGCCGATTTTACCCTCCTGCTCTTGGACACGTCCATCAACGATGCCCGAAGGTTGTACGATCTCAACCTCTGGGCGCCGCTCGCCGTGACGCAGGCCTTTGCTCCAATGATCGTCCAGGCCAAGGGAGTCATCTGCAACGTCTCGTCGGTTTCGTCCATCTGCAACTTCGCCTGGGCGGGTAAGTAACCTGGAACGCAGGGCCTCGAGCTGCTCACCTTCCTGAATATTGTTGACTTAGTTGTCCCCATCCAGGAATATATGCAAGCTCCAAGTCGGCGCTCAACGTCCTCTCCGAAACCCTCCGCGTCGAGCTGCAGCCGTTCGGCGTGCGCGTCCTGACCGTCATGCTCGGCGGCTGCGCCACGAATGCGCACGCCGGAATGCCGGACCTGGTGCTGCCTCCGGGCTCGCGGTACCAGCCGATCTGGGAGACGATCGATCGGCAGAAGAAGGGGCTGGTGTACAAGAACAAGCAAGATCCAGCTGTGGCGGCGAGGAATATCGTCAGTGATGTTATTGGCGGTCGGCAGAGTTATGTGTGGCGCGGGGCCTCCTCGACCCTGTGTTGGTTCTGCTCGACGTTTATGCCGAATGATGTGTTCGTGAAAATGGTGAATGAGAGAAAAGGGTTGGATATGCTGGCGGGGAAGAAGCACTGAATAAGGGTCCTGATGCTTTCCCAAATAGGCTAGCGGAGATGGCTAAATTTTCTGGAATTGCGGGTCAAGGGATTCCGGGGAGCGTTGACGTCTGACATTCACAACCCTATATGAGTGATAGCATGCTTTTCAACCAACCCAAGCCCATCAATGAACACTTTCTTGAATCCGTTCCGGGCGCCATCTCGAAACGAAGCAGAGTGGTTCTCGGCCGGTGTCGCCTCTTCCTTCCCAGATGTTGGCCTCGATGAGACGGGGACGGAAAGCGAGTCAAGCAATCCCAAACTCTGCGGAATTCGTGGGCCGGATGCCAAACCAGGTTGCAAAGTCTTCCATGTTCCCAAAACGAACGCTCCTCAACGGGCCGAAATCGAGGTTGTAGGAGACGACTTGGCGGCGCAGGACTTGACAGACCAGGTTCTCGTCTTTCAGTATCGCGGCAAATTCCATGCAATTGATCATGCAAGTGCAATACATAGACGACTTGTCACTTTAGCTTTCAGGTGCGGTGGCTGACGTGACCCAGCAATGCCCTCATTCTTCATATCCGCTGTCGCAGGGCATCCCGTTCGACATCGAGGACTTCGGCATCGTCCTCAGCGCGGGGCTGACGTGTCCAAAACATAACTGGTCATTTGACTTGTTTTCGGGCAGGGCGGATCGCGGCAACTACAAGCTCAAAGTTTGGGAGGTTCAGCTGCGCGACATCGTTGGGACGCAGATCGATGACAAAGAGGTGTGGGTGCGAAGGAAGCCCAGGATTGGGTGAGACCTTCCCAATGAGGGGGTCGTACAACACTGGAGGGAGATGGCCCGGAAGGATTGCAGCCAGCAAATATATATCCGCGGGGACGCTTTAGGCAAGATGATGGGATCCTACGTTGTGGTGTGTCATTAACAGGCTTGGTCGATACGCTTCCAGCATTATCCGGAACGCTGGCATCTAGAAGCGTAACCAGGAATCGGAGTGAAGATGGTTGTTGAGGAAGCCAGACGGGGGCCAATTCCTGGATATAGTGCTGAGGAGACCTCATGTTGTTATGGAACGGCCAATACAACAGGACTCTGTACCCGCTCCCCTCGGTCGCGCCTCTCAAGTTCTGGAAGCCCAAGCCCTATTCGCACAGGCACACGCACGTCAGTCACCATGAAACTATTCGTCGTGTGTCTTTTTAGCGCCCTTCAACTCGTCCCGCGAGGACTTGGTCACCGTAAGTTGCCGGTGTACCAGCATCTTGGCTGCAGAGAGGGCCACGGCTGACCTGAACTCTTCTTCTAAGAGATACACGGAATACTACTCGTAAACGGCACGGAAACACCAGAATGGAAATACGTCCGGTATCGTCCCCCTCATACCAGGCCATGCCCTTAGAACAGATGATTACTCTAACAAATAGACCAGCGACGTTGGTCCCGCATTCGACTATGTCCCGGGTTCATACCCCGAGGGGCACCAGTTCCCCAAGACGCCGCCGCAGATGGACATCAACCACCCCGATATCACCTGCGGCAGGCGGGCGTTTGAGTCGGCCGCCACCACCGATACAGCCGATGTGCTGGCCGGGTCCGAGGTCGGGTTTCGGGTCTCATGGGACGGCAACGGAAAATACGGCAGTTTCTGGCACCCGGGCCCAGCGCAGATCTATCTGTCACGCGCCCCCGACGATGACATGAAGCATTACCGAGGCGACGGGGACTGGTTCAAGATCGCGTACGGTGGGCCAGTGGGGAATAATGAGTGGCTGCTTTGGGGGAAGCCCGAGGTAAGTTTCTCCTCCGAGCCACTTGATTACGGTATCTTCAGGGACATGGAAGGCTGATGATATGGTACTCGAACTGATCAGTTCAACTTCACCATCCCACCGACGACACCGCCGGGCAAATACCTGATGCGCATCGAGCAATGGATGCCCACCCACTTATTCAACTACAGCCAGTGGTATGTCAACTGCGCTCACATTCAGGTCCACGGCCCGGGCGGAGGGACACCAACGGGGTTCGCACGCTTCCCGGGGACGTATGACATCGATGACCCTGGTAAGACAAAACGTTTTCGTTTAATGTTGGGTCAGAACCACAAGCTCTTTAAAACTGACTAGGTGTTGTGCTGTGTCAGGTCTCCGGATACCCGTGAACCAATTCGTCAATGGCGGATATGTGCCGGACGAGGAGATGAGATTGCTCGAGTATAAGCCCCCCGGGCCGGCCGTCTGGACTGGGTAGCGGCGAGGCAGTAACTCTATCTGTCTCAGACCCTACTCTCGCTGCTGTTGGCATGGCTAGATTTCAACTTCTTGTCCACATTCGAGGCTAGTTACAGATTCCTAGCCAAACCAGATACATCTCCCGATTAGCAGACGCAAGAGCTGGGCCGTAGCAGACACTCTTTTAAGACTTCTGATCTGTTCTGGGCCCTGTATTGACATACCAGGTACAAACCGTGACCAGCGCCTAACTGTCTGCTTTAGGTGCCATCCTGACACAGTCTTAGCACAAAGGCGAGAATGACAGGATACGAGTGCCGATGGAGTCGAGTCGAACACTGAACTCCTTATTACCATCCCTGGATATAAAACAGACACCTCCATAGCCTACTGGAGGTTGGCACTCCAAATTCGTCCTGTTATCCTCATTGCATGCAGATGCCCCTCTATGTTCTGCCTTAGATTACGACTCGCCGAAGCCCTTGTATGCGGGCTTTGAGGTCTCACCCCGGGTGGCCCCTTTCATACCGGGGCGTGGGTGAACAGGTATGAAACCGACTCGCCTGCACAGGGTTAGCATCCATGGGCAAGAAATAGGAGAGAAGTGTATCTTCGTACCGTTGTGGGTACGGCGGATGGCCTCTGCGATGGTGGGGCTGATGTCAATAACACGCAGCTTGGGACACTGGGGATGGTTAGTTGACAATGGACGAACCACGCATAGGACTCAATGTCAAAATAGACCTACCCGCTCGACCTTATCTCCAAGAGGGACCGTATTTGTGACAACGAGGGCCGAAAGAACACTGCTATTCAGTGTCTCAATGGCGTTGCCGGACAGAATGCCATGTGTGACCAGGGCGAGGACCGACTTGGCGCCGTTCTCCTTGAGCACGGCGGCTGCTTTCACCAAGGTGCCACAGGTATCCGCCATGTCGTCTGTCGCCAGTCAAACTCATGCATCGCGACCCTTGAGATTTGCACAATAGGAGTTTTAGAAGGAAGAGGCACCTACCAACGAGAATGGCAATCTTGTCCTCAACATTACCAACAAGAACCTGAAAAAGTCCTCATCAGTTTGGACCTACAGCGTCGACCTACACAGCTATGCTTACCATGCGGCCAACAACGTTAGGCCGGGGGCGCTCCTTGTGGATCAGGGCGAACGCAGTGTTCAGGTGGTCGGCAATTGATGTCGCACTTGAACCCTGTCAGTGTGAGGTAGCTCGGCTACAGTTGGAGCTACTGACCGCTTTGCGCCGCCGGCATCAGGGGAGACAATGACGCAGTCTTCTGTCTTAAAATTTTCCCTGATGTAGCGGAGGAAAGACGGCTCGGCATACAAGTTGTCCACTGGATGGGGTTAACGATCAGCCTGCTGGCGCATGACGTTCGGCAACGTACCTGGCACGCTGAAAAAGCCTGGACAGAGATAGTCAATAAGAATCGCACATCCATAACCGACTGTTTGCAGCACTAAGGGTAAGAAGTAGGGAGGAGCAATTCCGTACCTTGAATCTATACTCCCTGTCAGCATGACGCCCAGATACGGAAACTAGCGGCCTGTATACCCACCTGAGAAGCATGCAGGTCCACGGTTATGATGTCTACAGTCTGAGTCAGTTCTGCAGAGAAAGAGATGGAGAAGAGAGAAAGTGCGTACGGTTAGCACCGGCCGTCTGCAGCATGTTCGCGACCAACCGAGCGCTGATGGGTGCTCTGGACTGGACCAGGGTCAACAGGAGGTCTTAAAGCACACAAACACTGTGCTGCGCCATACCTTGTCCTTCTTATCTTGCCGGGCATAAGGAAAGTTTGGGCTGGCAGACCCAGCAGTCAGCATCGGGCTCGTCGGTGCGTGGATGAGTGCTGAGTGGTGCGCGCATGAAGAGGCTCACATGACGGCCGTTATCCTCCTGGCACTTCACATCCAATGTCAGCAACCTCCAATAGAGCATCCCAGTGTGTGCCTGCCTCCTCCTACCTAGCAGTTCGGCATGCCGAGATCATGATCAACAGCTCCATCAACCCTTCGTTAACGTCGCCCGTGGTGGTGGACTGCACAATGAAGACATCCTCGTCGCGGACCGACTCGCCGACTGTGAAGGAAGTTTCTTGGTTGGAGTAGTTGAGAGAAACGGTCCGGGCGACCTCAATACCGAGTCTGGGCAGGAAGGTGGTGTTAGCAGCGGTCCTGGCTCGGGGTCAAGGCCGAAGTTGTGGGCGGCTCTCTTGTCGGGTTTGCTCGACATACCGCTTGGCGATCTTGTCGCTCAGCTCGGGGTGGCTGCGGCCGCTGATCAACTTGATCTCGTTTGCCATTTCGGCGGACATGGTGCAAGGAGTTTGGGGCGACTGTCCGGCGACAGAACCACCAACTTTTCTTTCCCTGCGTCCTGCAGCTGTTAGCGGGAAACTTGGCTGCGGGGCAGTGACATGGGCTGTGGCGCGTACAGGGGTAGAAGGATTTACAAGATGTCGGCACGGTGAGCGAGACCAAGGCCAGAGTTCGGGGGATGATGAGGGTGTTATGCGGCCAATTCGCAGTCGAGGTATGCGCTCGCAGCGATTGGAAAGGCTGATACGCTCATATCGGCAGAAAAAGTTGAAAGAAAGCGGGTGGAGATGGGCCCAGGCCGTGCTTTCGAAGGTACCTGGTCGCGGTACCCTCTTAGCCGAACCTGAGATCGTGCGTCCAATCTTATCGATAACAATTGTAGCGTTACATTGCACGTGAATGGGTTTCAGCACGGATGGTCTCGCCATTGGCCATGCAACAAACGGAGATTGGATCTTGACGAGGAACGACGAAGATTGCGACAATCACAGTAGGGGAGCTCCACTAACACTACACAGCCTCAACCAGCAGATCCCGCTTTAGCTGCTGAGATAGGACGCTGAACACTTGGAGAACGCAGCCTCCAAGTCGATCTGCTAAACTAAGTCAAGAGGCAACAGGTGGCGTGAGAAAAGGGGAGAGAGTAGAGGGCTTGTACGAGTTGATGGTTGAACGTCAACGAATTGGATGTAGTTAGCGTGCCAAGGCCCTTTAGGCTTCGCGCCTCCGGGCGAAATAAATTCCATCCATCCATGCAACAAACATCCCGTCCCGGTTGATGAGAGGACTCGGTGATTGTGCGGCTCAAAACATGAGTTTTGAGTCTCAACTGATGTGTTTTACTTGGCGGCTGCTGTACTTCTATGCATACGGCCACGCGAATGCAATGGACCCGACCCCATGAACGAGCATTCGTTTCCTCGAAAAGGAAGACGGACGGCCCTTCTTCTGTCCGCGGCGTCGACTCAAAAAACAATGACATGTCGAATGGGGCTGAACGCCATGCACTTACATCCTCCCAATAACTCACAAAGCAGCATCATCACAACCCCCCAATCTGGGGCAGAGGACTCGATCCCGGCCCTGGCCTCTCATCCAACACCTCCTCCCCCGTCGGGCCGCTAACCTTGACGCCCTCCAGTGACGCCTGGTCGTCGACGTTGTCTGCCTGCTTGTCCACCTGGCCACCCTCCCCAGTCTCCTGGCTCTTTAAGCTACTGGCCTTGCTCACGTTCCGACTCTCTGGATCCTCCATCCTCAAGCCGAGGCGCTTGTCCGCCGTTGGATCCTCGTCATTCCCGCCCTTCCAGTCGGCCGGTTGCATCTGAGGTACGGGACTATCTTCTCCTGGCTCGTTGATGGCCACCCCTGATGCAGCCTCGCCCCCAGTATCAGCCTCGCCAGTCCCCGCGACGCGCCAAACCACCGACAACCTGTCTAGCGCCCTGGTGCCTCGCTGGCTGGAGCCCTTGATGCCATCCATCTTGTCCCAGTCCATCTCGAAGACCCCGCTGTCGTCTGCCTTGCCGCCTTGCTCGGGCCCGTTGCCTTCGAAGAAGACGTTGAACCATACGTGCGCCACAGCGGTGACCATGGTCAAGCCCACGCTGGCGTGAGCACGGTTCCTACGCTCGACAGAGATGTTGACATCGCTGTTTGAAATCCGGATTGGGCTGGCTGGCTTGAATATGACGGCTTGGCCGCCAGGCTCGGCAGGGTCGGCGAAGGAGATGGCCTTGTGGAGGTTGGTCGTCGATTGGGAGCGCGACTCGTCTTTACCCGGGAGAGAAGCCCCGCTTGAAGGAGTCTGCGACCTTTCCGGCAATGCAATGGTCTTACTCCTCGGCGCCGTTTCTGCCATTTCGTCACTATGGGCAGATTTCGATCTGCGCCTGGACAGTTTCCGCATCAGGCCGGTAGTTCGTGACGCCTTTAACTTCTTTGAGGAACTCCTTGAAGGCATCCCCAGCTTGCTGTCGCCGTTGCCATTTCCGCTGCCGTTGCCGCCGTTGTTGTCGTTGGTATTAGCCCCTTTCGTGATGTCCTTGTAGTCCGCCTCCTCCACCACCTCCCCCTTGTCGTCTGCTCCGGCCTTGACCCCATACCCCGCCATATCCTGCACAAAGTCCACCATCCCTGCTCCTCCCGGGGCGCCAGCCTCAACCACAACCCTCTCCTCCCTCTTGAAGGTGTGAAACACTTTGATCTTCTTACCCTCCTCGACGAACCCCTCCACAGCGACCTTGACGCCGTGCCTCAGCCCCCAGACATGCACCTCAACAATCTCGACCGGCCGATCAACATACTTCTTCCCGCCCTTGGTCCACCGATCCACATAGCTCACCCACCGGAGTTGACTGGGAATGGACACGCCGGCTCCGAAACCAGGCCTCATCCGCCGCTCGGTAAACCGCGCCAGCGCGTCCTCGGCCGTCCACCCGCACTCGGCAATCAGATAGCTGCACGCCATAGTACCAGACCTACCCTTGCCGGCCTTGCAGTGCACCACGACGACCCTCTCTCCTTTACCGTTCCCAACATCCATTTTCCCCGCATCCCCATCCCGACCACCACCACCACCACCCTCCCTTTCCATATCCGTGCTACAGCCACCACCTTCCCCATCGGCGGCGGCAGCAGCAGCAGTATCAAGCGGTCCACCATCCAACCACCTCCTCATCCCCCCCACAATCCCCGGGACTAGCCCAAACGGCGGCGGGTGGTGGTCCGGCCAGGGGTAGTGGCGTATGCGCCCGTAGACGGCCTCGTCCGGGTACCCCGTGCCCTCGGCGCGAAACTCCCATATCGCCCAACCGTCGCCGTGCTTGGCGTCGAGGAAGGAAACGAGGCGGTCGAGCGGGTTGCGGTAGGCGCGCTGCGGGTATGTTTGCGAGGGACCGGACCTGCAACAGTCAGAATATTGAACTGTTTTACTTTTTGTTTGCTCGGTTTGGAGTTGGATGAGGATTGAGCAGGACAGACGTCGCGATGAGGTTTGATGTCACATAGCACAGGTCGAGACCGGTCTCTTGGTGTTTTGCGCGGGGTCCAGCAACGATTTGGCGGAGGATGGAGGCCATGGCTGGGGCTGAAGGGGAAAGAGAGCTGTGTATGGAATGAGATGGTGGCAGCCAAGGAGTCGCGTCTGTTACACGCTCTCGATATGGGATGAATTGGCAGTTGTGCTTGGGTGTTGTTTGGTTACAGGGAAGGAACCACAAGGTCTGGACCCATGAGCCCCCAGCGACGTCATCAGCCCGGAAGTGGGGCTTCGATGGAGGCCTTGGCTCAAGTCCCTTCGGCTTCCCCAAACGCAAATCCTAGACTTACAGAGTCGGGGCGGGAGCTGCATGTTGAGCGCTGTATAGCCCAGCCGAACCAGAAAACCTCTTCGCATGGTATAGCATCGTCATGGGACTGCAGTCGTCGGGCCAATACAGGTTAAGACATTGTAGTACAGTGATGATAAGGTCAATACCAATAATAACCGAATCCGCTTCTGTCTGAAAGCGTCCCTCAACTCCGCAGGACTAGGTCTAGGCTACAAAAGCAAGCCAAGTCCAGATGAAACCCAGCCGATACCTTCCCAGCACACAAGCGCACCTCCTTTTCCCAGTCCGCCGGACATCCGCCGTCCGCAACCATTCTCCCTCTCGAATAACTAATTGACACCCCGCGGCACAATATAGCAAGCTCCCAAATATCTCGGAGAGCGCGCCCGCCAAATGGGTGATGTGCTTATGGCCGCATGTATAGCGGAAAGCATTCTTGTCGTGGATTCGGATTTATCTCTCCGGCCGCTAGCCACTTAAGACGTCTTCTTAGGAGCCGCAGCGCCGCTGGTGTACTTGTTGACGTGGGTCGCAGCGTAGAACTTTCTCGCGCCGCCCTTCACGCTGTCCCAAACCTGGCGGGCAGCAGGGGGCGTGCCCTGGGCACCAACGAGGTTGTCGATGCGGGCCTCGATCTGCGAGAACGAGTTCTGCACATGGCTGCTCTGCGCGAAGCGGGCGCGCAGGAAGGCAGTGTAGACGGCGAGGAGAATCCACGACCGGCGCTGGAAGAGAATGGCGCCCAGCAGCAGGCGGATCCAGAGCAGAATCTCAAGGGTCGAGACCACCGACATCGAGGAGTCGTAGTACCGCTTGACGAACTGTCCGATGGCATCCGAAGCCGGGTGCTGCGTGTACTGGGGCTTGGCGCTAGGAGAAGCGCCATCGGCCGGAGCGATCTTCTGCGGCGGGAAAATGGTGGGGATCAGGGTCGCGCGGATGTAAGTGGCGACGTGGAAGACCGAGTAGATGCCGTATGGGAGAAGGGCAAGCGTGTACTGGGGCATAACGAGCCAGACGAGGGCCAGCACTGAGGAATTACCAGGTCAGCAACGCACAAGACCGAAAACGAAGCAGTTGGGAGCACTTACAGAGATACTGCACATTCTCGTCGGAGAGATAACCCACAGGACCGTTAGGTAGCTTCGCTCCCGTTTTCTGACGAGCCCGCCATGTCTTGTAGACGACTATGCCATAAGTCCCGGCAGCCGAAATGAAGGCGAAACGGTAACAGAACTGCGCCAGGCGTCCATAGTAATTCATGCGGATCCAAGACAACGTGTATCGGAAGATGCAAGTCAGGAGGAGTGCGTGTCTGCGGAGGAAAGGAATGTCAGCAAGGGTACTTGAGCCACTTGAGCATTGGAGCTTCCGAGGGGCCAGGTAGCGTGACCACCCGGGCTATGGCAAGGTGCGGAACGAGCGCCTCGTCATAAACATTCGCAAGCTATCGTCCGACTTACCCAGCGAACCACGCGACTGTGTGTAGAGACGGGGTCAGTTATGCGATTCGCCGTATCACGGAGGCCAGAAATGCACACGTACACTGGAGCGTCGTGGCCACTCGTTGCAGCCTCTGGACCAGAGGCATGTCGGCTGGCGGCGGCGGAGCCATTGCAGCGGGGTTCTTGCTAGACGGTGATGATGTTTTTCGGTTGTTGGAAATGTGATTCCGTGCGTAGACGAAAGAGCTGTAATGCAATGCTCTGTCTGATAAAGCTGCCGAAGGTGGCCGGGTCTGTCTTGTGTGGGGACGGGGAAAAGGTGGTGCTTTTGCCGGGGATTCGGCGATGGTCGGTGCGCTGCGTCACTGCCTCGAGCAAGTGCAGGGGTTGAAGCAGGGTAGGTGCAATCGCAGGGCTGCTCTTTTGGCGGTCAAACACGTTCCGAATGATGCCGATGGGTTTGGACTTTGACAGTTTGTTGTCGGCAAGCTTGCAGTCAGCAGAAACGTTCAAATTGAAGAGAGACAAGATCGGGAGAGAAGAGCAGGTGAAACTTGACAGCTTTCCTCAAACGACAAAGAGCTGCCTTGGTTCGACCCTTATCGTCACAACCTCCACTGTCGTCATCACCCTTCAGCCCTCGAGGACCCCACACAGGAGCATGTCTTGGCAGAGAACAGTGGCCAAGAGTCCATGAGACCAAGCAAACCGAGAAACAATTTCAGTTGATATCAGAACCTGTTCGGCTGTTATTGGCTTGAAGAGCGCTTCCCTGAATGGCACACGCCTTGAATGCAGTGCCTTGGCGCTTCGAGCATGTATATGCGGCAGACTCGACAGCCGAACCTCGGAGAGCGCTTTCGAAAGTGAAGTGGGACCAGCACTGTTGTGACCACAGTTCGCCTCAACTTCTTTGCACTTTGGCCTAAGGGGATACGGAGGAGTCAGAGTGTGAAATAGGAGCAAACCTCTACTGAAGATGAGTATACCCCCCTGCTTTGCTGCCGGCCGTGTCGAACGCAGGCTCGGCATATAGGGGTCAAGCTCATGGCCTGCATCCGCGCTTCATCCATGTCTTGTGAGTCTACGGAAAACCAACCCGTAAACCATAACCACGAACCAACCCTTTTATTGCTATCAGCCCTGACCTCATAACTCCAGATAACTGCGACCTCGCGAGTCAAACGCCAGTCCCTGAGCCCAAAGCATCCGCCATTATACCCAGCTCTCCGTTGACGGCAAGGGCCAGCCAACATCATCCCTAGCTGCCACACCTGGCTCCGCAAGCCGAGATGAGGTCCTTGTTCGGACATACTCAAGCGGCCTGGCGAGAATAGCAGCATAAACCCGTTCAACGCTCGGCGTCAACGGCGAAGACGCTCTTCCGTTGGAACCCCGCGAGTCCGATGCCGACGACTCTGTCCTGCGGAGCGACTGGACTCGACCAAAGAGGGGTCTTGCAGGTCCATGCGGCGCATTAATGGGCCCATGAGCGTCGGGTTTGTTCATCTTTGCGCCCAAAGCCGGCGTCATGGCAGGCTCATGTCGCTGCGGCGCAACTTGTGCTGTTGATCCCGGAGGGCTCGGCTGGTCCTTGACGATATAGCTCACGATGGCCCGGTCCAGGGCGGCGTTCGCCTCCTTCTCGACCTCGTCTGCTCGTTTCTTGGCCTTACGGCGGCGGCTGAATAGGTAGAAACCAAGCACCGACAACAGACACGTCCCTACCGCCGTGACAACGATGGCGATGATGAAGATGGTGACTGACAGTTGTTTGCCCATGCCGGTGTCTCGAGTCTTTTTATTTTTTTGTGTTTCGCCCGTGTCAGTCGGCATTATGCATAAGCTGATGGTGTCAAGACGCACCTTCGAACCAGCAGAAGAATCCGCGTTCAGTATGGCGTTGACTGTTGGTGCCTGAGCGGAGGCGATTGCGGCAGAGGCTGAGGTTTGAGCAGCCAACACTGCCCTAGACGCAGAGGCTGCGGTAACAGCAGTCGCGCTGTATAAGTCCTCCAGGGGTGCCATCAGCTTGCTTGGAAGTTGAGATGGTAATTTCACTAGCAGATGGAAGTGCTATGCGCAAAGCGTTGCTCTTCGAACAGGCTGCCCGAGTCATTCGGCCTGGAAGCTGGGCGCCACGTGAGGGATTACAGGACCCGGTGTAAGCTTCCGGACGACGTTCTGTAAGTGTGACATGAGTGAACGTGGGCCTCGGGCAGCTGTTGGAAAAGATTCTTGGTCCACGCTTCTCCCAATGACGGTTGAGCGACGTTTTGTTTGCGCTGTAGCGAGGCGAAAATCATGTGCGCGCGCTCTTCAGACCCCCATAAAGACACTCGTCGCTGCGTCGGACCAACATCCAAGAAATCTCCAATAATGGGTTCAAGATAGTGAGTATCCAGTCCTAAAGTTGGTGGGGTCAATTTGCAACATCCAAGTCCGGTCGGCAACAGCGCCATATGAAAGCCTGATCGAGATTGCGGCGCCTTCAAAGGAGACCAGATGAACCAGGCCGCACAAGATCCTATCCGGCTTACTCCGTAGATGATGGCGAAACTGTGAAGCCAACCGGCTGGTCACTTGACCGAGTCAGCGGGTGCCAGATAGGAGCGTCGCTGAATATCTCCGCAAAAGAGAAGGAGCAACGGCAGACTTCCGCATCGTCCCATCTTTCAACGTTTGCCTCGGCGGTGGGGTCGGCCGTGTCACACGCAGTTGAAGTGTGTCTGCAAACAGCTGGCTGGGCAGGGTTCAGTCATTTGACCATGAAGCCAACATTCCTAGCGGCTGTCATTCGAGTTGGGTGTTTTGGTTCACAAGGCGAAGCCACAGTCGTCCTTCATCGCGCGCCTCGCATGGGACTCGTAAAGCTGAGGCCGAGATGTTTGCGCAATCGCAGCAATTGAGCTCGACGTCACCAAAGGAGGCAGGCCAGGGGATCCGTGAAAGGGTCGTCATTTGCACCGTCAAACTCGTTCCCTGCCTTCCAGGCAGCGGGATCGGCGCCACAAATGGATCGACCAAACGCGTTCCGCACGTGAGCTACGGGTAATTTCTCCAAGAGAACGCTAAAGAGATTCCATTAACAACCATCGAAGAAATGGAATGCCCAAGGGAGAGTTGAAACAGAAAACAGATGGATGTCGTGAAGTCGGGGCTTCACCTGACAGATCCCCTCCAAATACGGGCCGCTAAATGCCCGTCTGCCAGCTGTCACAGCGACAATGCTGCTGGAGCTCCGCAGCCATGAGTTCGCGCCCCACTTGCCTGCATTGTAGCCTCATCCAACATACTTCAAAATCTAAACCTCCTTCCTCGAAAACACCTCCATTGAAAACAAAGGTTGACTGCATTTTCAGGCATCTTATCACAAGTCGATTGGTCACACAAGAAGCCCAAACAACCAAGATGGCTACGATCGGCACGCTCCAACGGGTCTCAGCAGCCTCCCTCTCCAAAATTCTTCTCGCCGCCCAGGAAGCTGCCGCAGCTGGCGACCCAACCATCGCCGTCATCGACGTGCGGGATGATGGTTCGCTTTCCTAACCCCAGTAATTCTAGAAAGTGACTTACGTTCCGCAGATTACATTGGCGGCCACATCAAGGGCTCCCAAAATGTTCCCTCCCGCACCTTGGACGCCATGCTCCCGACCTTAGTCCGGCAGCTGCAGGACAAGGAGACGGTCGTGTTCCACTGCGCTCTCTCGCAACAGCGGGGGCCCTCGGCCGCGTTGAGGTATATACGGGAGAGGGAGCGGCTTCTCGCTTCGAAGAAGGCGCGGGAGGACCGAGTCGTTGTGATTGGGGAGAAAGAGAAGGAGGACTGTACTGCTTCTGCTGCTGGTGTTATCGCTGGTGCTGCTGCTGAGGAGAACGGCCCGAAGGAGCAACAGGTGCTTGTCCTTGACCGCGGGTTCGCGGGGTGGCAGGAGCTTTACGGCACCGACGAGCGATTGACCGAGGGGTATCGGAAAGAGTTATGGGAGGATGGGTATTAGGGATGAGGACTTCGCTCCAACCCGCATTTGCGAAGGCCTTGCTCCAGCAGCAAGGCAGGTGCACTGCCAGTAGCAGGCAAGTACCCACCCAGCAGCAAGGCAGGCTTTTTAAAAGTTTACCGACCGAGACTCGATACCCACCGGACCTCCGCTTGCGTACTACGAACGGAGCATCAATAATTGCGGATTTGTTGCGTCAACAAGTTAACCAGTGCCATCCGACAATTGCGCTTCATCTCGACTCGATTCCAACTGGTCCTGTCGGACATGCACTCCCATTCCTTTCTATACAGTTCATGAACGATATCCGATTCCGACAAGACCCAATGTCGACCCCTTCGCGCACAGCTCGGCCTCCGACCTGAACCGAACACCAAGCACATCACCAACAACGCCGTTGGCCAATCCCAACCATGGCTTGGCAAGACCACCACGCTCTCCATGAAATCCAGTGGCCGACTCTGGTGCCCACCGTTTTTTGCGAGCCCATTGCCGTTGGCGGGCCACACGGTCTGGGCTTCAACTTTTCCGCCTGGCCCATCCTGGTGCCTGCAGAGGAGGGAGTGCACATGTGCTACACGCACGACGAGCGGTTCCGCGGTACGTGTCTCAAGGAAGGCTTCTGTGGTATCAACGAATCCTTCCGGGAACAGTTCGGCTACGACTGCCCACAGCAGACCGTCCAGTGTGTTATCGTCAAGGACGCCACGGACCAGCAACATGCTCGTGCCAAGATTGGAGGTAACAAGGTTGGCTGGGCCATGTGGATATGGCGATCCAAGATCCTTGGTTACCTGTATGTTTTTTTTACGTTATCGTGGCTCTCGCCAGTTGCTTCGCACCGCCGGAAAGGGATCAGCGCGAGAAGAGGACGGGATAAGGAGAGCTTCCGAAGTAACGATGCAGAGGTATTGGGTGTCATGATCCCAGTTATGACCGCGGTGGTTGTGGATGTCGTGTGTAGATGTGGACTTGTGGCCTGGGAAGCAAACGGTTCCTGCGCTGGCATGGAGCAAAGTGACGTTGCTGGACTGATTAAGGGGCGTCGCGACGATGAAGAGTGTGGCCAAGATTGAGTTGCGGTTCGGAGGAGATACGTGAGCCAAGAGAATGTCATGAAGCTGAGGCCTGAGATAGCCAAGGGCCGGGGCGGTGATATAAATTGTGAAATTGGCCGTCATAAATTCGTTAACTAAATGAATTGTGTTTACTATATTACAGTCCGTTGCTGGGGATGGGAAAGTCCGCTTAGAAGGGGACGATGGGAACTTCACGAATTCCAATGTCCTGTCTTTTCACGAGGTGACAGTTACACTTGTTGATCCGGCTGTTGTACATCTGAATTCAAGTGCCCTGTCTGATTGTAGATGCCGCCTTACGGGTGAATATTCCTTTCTGGATCATCACCTCCACTCGCATTTATCGAAGAGCGTCATGCATTCCTCGAGCGCGAGGCATTTTCAAAAGAGGCGCGGGATTATTGGCAGCTTTTTGAGTGAGAACAGTTCGGCTTTGACATGGCGGTCGCCCAATTCAAGCACATGAGCGCACATCATTGAGGAAGATCTCCGCCATCGAGATATTCGTGCCCCATCGAAGTCAGCATCATAAGGTCGTCTTTTCGTGTCCTGCCTGCTGTTTGGGCGCGAGAAACTCGTGACGGCTGACTCGAGCTTGAGTTTCACGCCGTGCCACCAAGTGATCCTACGACCTGGCGCCGTCGAAGGATGACAAGGCAACAATATCACATTCCGCCACGAATTTCGGGGGAAAGATGCCAAGACTTTGACCGGGACAGATCGCTGCAAAGCCATCTTCATGTTTGGTTTTGTAGCGTGTCATGATGAATTTTTCTATGGATGTTGCGGGTTCATGGGAAGTATGTGTTCGTCGGCTTTTGCGGGTCGACCCGGCCCGGCCGCCCGGGGCAACTGGCCTGGCAGCGCCGCGCCCCTGGATTAGTACAACACCACTGAACGCGATTCCCAGCAATGCGGATATCGATGCGGCACAGGATCTCAATCATCCCCACTCCGGGCTCGGTTTACATAGGCTTCAAGTTGTTGGCTCAGGCCCAGTATTGTAGCAGAAGTGGGACCGGATGGATACCAGGTGACGGGCCTGCTCGGACTCGCTGCTCGGACTCTCCAACTTTTGTCCAAACAACCTAAATGAATCTATCACGCAGCTGCGCGAGTCCATCTCACGAGTTTAGTGGCCGTGCTCTGAATTTTTAGTAATCCGCCGCATCCTTTTCCAGGTAACCGATTCAGAGTCCAAGACCTACCGTCATCTACAGGCCTATGGTAGGTAACCCTCTAGATATCATGCTAACGTGGCTGAAGATTCCTACCTAGTCTGCTCCATCATACCTGTTCCACAAGTCGTGCTGAGCATCGGTCAACATCTCCTAGAGAGCTAGCACTGCCAGTGCATCAAGGCATCACCACCGGACAGCACGGTGGAACTGTCTAGGAGGAATTCAGTCCGATCAGGCAACTACCTTGAGATCTATGCGAAAAAAACATCGCCAATCCAGACACGTTGGAGGACTCATCGCTCACGCATCTTGTATATATGAGCCATGGACACTCGGTCGAGTTTCCAACGATGTGCACCGGCAAACCTCAACGACCTCAAACCCGCAACAGCAGACACATCCAATATTTTCTTCCACTTCAGTCACTACATCTCCTCCCAGCCCTCCCGCGTGAACAGCCTCAACCCGTCGCACCAAGACATTCTCGCAACAATGTCGAGCAACAACTCGGGAAACTCCTCGCGCAACTGGGACGACATCCTCAAGCACGGCTCGGCGCTGAGCATCTTGAAACCTGATGTTGCCTTTTCTGGGACCAGTTCGGGCAGCACCTCGGGCTCGACTTCGGGTGGCCCGTCTGGCGGCTCTTCTGGTGGCAGCACATACCCGTCTGGCGGTGTACGTTGTCTTCCTGTGTGCAGAATCTCTATGATGAAGCTCATGCTAATGGTCCGGTGTTAACAGCAGACCTCTGGAAGCACCACTCAACGCTGATGAGAAGGGGGTGCATTTCCTCGTCTTTCAACTCTTTCCATCTCCTGGATGAATGGGTCTTTCTCTACTTGGTGATTTTGGGAAGCGACCACGGTGCTGTTTTGGCTGGGCGGTCGTTCATTGATTTATGATTCTATACTTTTCCTTTTCGAAGCGGTTCAGGGTTTGGAGGTGGTTGACTGGTGCAACCAGGGCCGGAGCATACATCGGCGTTCGTATCCCACACTACACCCTGCATAGCGACTGAGATGACCTACATGCACGTCGCATAGATAGCATTGCTTCACAGCATCGTCTTTCCCATACTTTCCAATCAATCCATTAAACTTTTTCATTTAACCGTCGAGTTGTCTCCGTTGTTTTGAGGTTGGCGTCAATCATGATATTCGCCGCCCCTTTGTGCTTCACCCAGAAAGATTGAAGATGGTCGGCCCTGGGTCTAACTGACAGTTTCATATGCACTTAATTCCCGCGCCATGTTGGCCTGTAGGGCTGAGGTTGTACAGCGGCGCAGCGCGCTGTAAAGTTCCCTTCCTTGTAACCAGGTTGCCGGGAAACTAACTGACTGCGAGCTTTCTCGTTGGAGCCTGAGGCTGTATAATCAAGGCAACCAAATAAGTCGTCTTCGGAAGACATGCCAATTCGGCAGTGGAATCTCACTCACCCGGGCGAGGCTGAGCCACAGGATTGCAGGCAGCCGCACTTCGCCTGAGGCAACCCAAGCAGTCGACATTCAGCTGCCTTATTGATATGGGTGTCTTACGCCAGATTCTATGAAGCGATGCCTAGTAGCAAGTGGCGGGTACTTGGCTGTTGTATGTAAGACGCTCAATCAGGTCCGGAACAATAGCTCCGGCTCCGGTTGCTGGGAGACCGGGAGCCACTCCACACCCGACGGGCCGCTCCGGGTGCATGAACCCGGGTTCAGTCCCACTTTCCCAATGTGGAATCACATTGAGCAGCATTGGCCCGAGGAGCTTGCGGCCATGAAAGAGTGCGGTCACGAGTCAGGAAGATAGATCACTTACCCTCCATATCATATGAATTGACCGGAGGAGCCGTGAACCCACAACATTACTGGTTGACGTGAAAGCAAACCCCAGTATAACGTTAACGGGTCGGAGGTAGCGGCTTGGCGTCTCGAGCCCTGTAAAACGCCAAGCCCCCATAACGCGCGATGTCATGCAGTTTAATTCTGCCCCGCGTTTCAACGCCACGCGGGTTCAACACACGACCAATTCGACATGCCCCGCATTGCGCATGCGATAACGCCCACAACAAGGGTCGCAACATGACGAGGTGACACATTTCAGCTCACCTGTACACCACCACATTCAGTATGGCGCTCCCGCTGCCTCCAGGCCTGACGCATGCCGAAGTCGCGTTCCTAGCCGAGATGGAACTCGTCACCGTCGTCCCGCGCCAGCGGCTAGAAAGCATCAACCTGCTCGGCGTAAGCCATTCCTCCCGATTCAATTCCAGACCCTCCTTCAAATCATCTTATAACTGACATCGTTCTCTCTAAATCATCAGGGCAAAACCCCTCCTCTCCGCCCACCACACAGAGCCGACCTCCCGCTCTGGTTCGCACTCCTCCTCAAAAAGCAACGCCGCGCCAACATCATCCCGCCACCCTGGCTGCACCCGTCCTCCCTCGCCGAAATAATTCACCATGAAACCAAAGTCGCCCCCGAGTCCTTCTCCGACCCGCCCCCGGCCCCATCACGAGCCGACCCGGCCAACCCAGGCCTCATCGCCCGCCGACCAGCAGCCAGACCACAACAACAACTTTCCCCGCCCTTCATCCCCTCATGCACCGCCGCCTCTCCGGCAGGCTACCTCCCCTACCACTGGCAGGAACTCGCCGAGGCGCTGCTCGCGCACGCGGGTGACGACGTGGCGGCCGCGTTCGGCGGGGGGCTCGCCGCCTCGGGCGAGGTGCGCGGCCTGCTGCGGGACTTGGTCGAGGTGCGCGCCGCCAAAATGCGCAGCAGCACCGCCGACCCGGACGGGTTCGGCGGCGGGCTGATGAGCCTGCGCGGCGTGGGCGCCATGGAGTTGGCGGAGAATAGGGGGTTTGTGTTGGGCGTGGTGGACGGCGTGAGAAAGATCGGGGCGAGCGTGGAGGCGGCCAGGCGGGAGGAGGAGGAGCGGGGAGAGGAGGAGATGGGGAGTGATGAGGAAATGGGATTTTGAGAAGGTTAGGTACCAGTTATTCTGAGTGCAAGGGGGTTGGGAAGGGATCGTTGGAGACGGGGGAAAGCTTGCCGGTGTGGAAGACGGAGGTGGCAAGAGTGAGTCACGACCTGATATCTTCGTTGTTGACTTGAGAGCCATGCATGCCGATCGTGGATGGTTCGATGCAGGGGGCAACCAAGCAGATGCAGTCATTCAGCTAACATGGGCTTCTTGCCGTAGAAAACGCTAATATACCTTGCGGCTATACATCCCATCAACCATAATTGTACCATGCTTACCGTATCACCAAGAATGCTCCTGGGCTTCGCCTCACTTTACACCGTCACTTACCTGGCCAGAATGGGAATACCTTCGCTTCTTCTCCCTGGAACTTCCATCGGATGGAGTCCACGCCCCCTCGAACCTCGTCTTTCGGCGTGGGTGCGTCAACCAAGGCGTCAGTGGCCAGGTTTTCAAACCGCTGGTAGTCACCGCGCTCGTTGAGCCCAGAGGTAACCATCTCCATGCAGCCATCAGGATTGCCGGAGGCCGATATTGGAAATAAGGGTTCAAGCCGACCATCAGAGGCGGTGATACTGCTGCGAGGTGACGCGAGAGCAGGGTCGCTAACATCACATAGCTGGATGTCGTTGTCGCTGTTCTCGGCAATAGCAGCTGGTTCTCTTGGCTCACCGTGTTCTCGGCGGCGTTGCAGAACAACTCGAACCGATCAATTGGAGATGACAGGGACGGAGGCCGGGATTGCCGCAGACAGGGTGACCGGGCTGGTGTGCCATCTGTACCAGCGTCCGTATTTGAGTTCTCGTCCAGGGATAGTTGGTGGTTCTCTTGTGGTAAACATTTTGCTTCCTGTGTCACGTAAAGCTCCGAGCCATCGTCATCCCATTCCCCATTCAATTCTTCCCTGCCCTGACGCTGCCGCGGACGGCCTCGATACACCAATTACTGCTGGATTTCTCACCCTCACTGCTACTCGAGTCCCCGCCTTCACTGCGATCTCCGTTGGTATTGCCGTCGTTGCCGTTATTCAGCTCAATACTGGAGTTCTGTGGTTTATTGCATTTGTTGGAGAGCGGGCAGGGAAGGGAAAGAGGGAGGAAGTCCTCATAGAGGGGCTCGCCATATAGGGTAGAGTGATTTCCAGAGTGAGGCCAGTCCTGATTAGGGCTGAAGTCCGGGCTACGGGGCACATACGTCAGCCCTTGTTCGATATACCGGGATGGATCGGTAGTTCCCTTTCGGAGATTGTCTGCGGCTGGATAGGCGATGCTTTTTTGCTGGTGCCTGGAATTTGGGTTGTTCCATTGGTTGGAGCTTATCTCGCTCAACAGTGCGATGGCATCCTCGAGAACAAGAATCTGCAAGGTATGGCTGGGCAATGTGTGGGGACTTGGCGCACCATCTCTCTGAAAAGGCCCTCTCGGGAGGAACGGAGATGAGGGCGGCGAAGTCATGGGAGATGAGCTGGACGGCCCCGAAGTAGAAGCCCAGTCGAACTCGATCAAGGCATGGCCCTCAACACTGTAAGCGGCTCGGGAAGCAGAAAGCTTCATCTCGATTGACTCCAGTGTTATGTCCTTGTCATCTAGGGCCAGCACAGTGGGATCGGACTTGACTTTCAGGCGCCTGCGTTTACTGGGAGACCTAGTGGCCACGTCGGGATTATCCTTCGTTTTGAACGGTATGGTGGGCGGTAATGATTCTCAGGCTGGGCGGTACCTGACTGTGACGGATTGAATCTGATGGAAGATATTGAGAAAGTTTTCAGTGAACAACGTTCCGAGAGAGGTGCAAGCCACTCAGATTGTACCGCAAGTCTTCAGTACGCTGGAAATTATACCACTGGTCGCTCAACAATGCCATCTTCCACGCCTCCACTGCTTCTTCCTCTTGCATAAACAAAGCAGCTATCAATGGCCGAGTGAGCAATTCCTTTCAGATACCGGTTTGGTTGGTTCTTCCTTTGTCCAAGTTTGGAATAAAGACAACGGACCCATACTGCTTCCTTGTGAATCGACTATGGAGGCTATTGTTCCGCTTAGACAATGACCTTTTGATTGACAATCAATACCCATAAGAGTGAACCCAACTGTCTATGTACGTCTTTGAACAAGCTGACTGACTGACTTCAAGTTCCTTGTTAGCGACTTGACTCTAGCTTGAATGGTTCGACGACATTCTGGATTCCATCATCTCATGACCAGTCCACACCTCGCCTCATCTCTCAACAGTCAAAGCTGAGACCAAGTCCTTCTCGCGTCCAAGACAGCCTTAACATACATCCATTTACATCCGAGCACCAATTGGAAGATAAAACTGAAAAACAACAACGCAAGTCACGCCAACCACAAGAAAAACCAGCCTTGAAAGACGACCGTCTCTACATCCAATACTACCACCAGGCGCTGTACCATTCGCCTCACGACACTTACGACACCTACCCAGATCCAATTCCAGAAAACCTCTACTACCGGTTTTCCTCCATCCCCAACCCCTCCACCACCTCCACCACCCCAATCGCAAACCCCATCACCTCTCCCTCCTCTCAGCCCTCCTCCTCACCCTCCTCGTCCACCACGACCTAGCCGCCCACCTGTTCTACTGGCTCCTCCGCCCTCTCCGCCCTTTGTACCCCTCGAAAACCTCCTCCTTCCCTCCCATCCTCCCGGCCCTCCGCCCGCCCCACAACGCAATCGGCACCCCCTACGGCGCAACGCTGCACGCCCTGCGCTGGGAGACGGCGCGCAACGTCTCGGCGGTCCGGCTGGCGCTGGGCGTGTACACGGGCATTTTCGTTCTGCTGAGCCATGTACTGCCGCTGCTGAGGTTGTTGGATGAGTGCGGCGGGGCTGGGGTGGAGGGTTTTGTTGGGCGGGTGCTGGCGCCTGTTGGGATAGCGTACCTGTATCTGGTCGCTTTGTGTGCGGCGGTGAGGTTGTAGGTGTGGGAGGGCCGAGTGGCGGTGGCGACGGTGCGGTTTGTTTGGCGCACGGTTGTGGAAGTAACGAGAGGGGTTGGGGGGTTCTGGGGCGGTGTTGTCATGGGTAATTGGAGGTTGGTGTTTGTTGCGTGGTCTGGATGGGTTTGTGTTCGGTGGTGAGGGAGGTGGATTTTGAGGTTGTTTTATCACGAGGCTGTGGGAAAGGTGCTGTTGCTGGGCGCGGAGTGCATTTATTTGTTCGGGGGTGTTGTGAAGGTTATGGCTCGTTGATCAAGTCGGCGGAGCGAAAAGGGACCGATATGTCACAAACTTGTGGTACTTATGTGAGGGGTACTGAACGTTCACTTCAAGTCCTATGCAAGCAGGTCACGGAACACGACAGGTAGTGAAGAAAGTACTGTAACTTGCGAACGTAAGCAAGCTCAGATACGCCACAAGCAATTAGGATCTCGTTGGGGACCCATAGAATAAGTTGTTGCTTCGAAAACCCCAGGTTGTAGGTCCCACAAGAACATACATGCTACTTTCCCCAATGCAGACATGCCCCAGACCGTCAACTTCCACAGAAAGCCCTCAGTACACCACCAAAACAAGACATGCACACAACGCCTACGCCTTTCCAGCCGCCGTGATCCCATTTGCTCCCGTCTCTATAACCTTGTACCCATCCGCATTCCCCTCACCCACCGCCGCCTTCTCGTACGCCTCATCGCTCCGATCACACAGAACATTCAAATCCTCATCACTCAACACCTCCTTATCGCCCGAGAACTTGTACACCAGACCATCCTTCAACAGCAGCGCCTGGAGCGTCTCCCGGTCCAGGTCCTCCCGCATATCAATCTTCTGCCCCATGGTCCGGAACCCGCCCTTCTTAATAACAAGCTTTTCCAGCCTGCGCTTGGCGTCGGCGCTCATGAGCAGCTCTTCCTCGACCGTGCCTTTGGTCGCCAGCCGGTAGACGATGACGGGCCTCGTCTGGCCGATGCGGTGCGCCCGGTCCTGCGCCTGCAGGTCCTGCTGCGGGTTCCAGTCGCTGTCAAACAGGATGACCGTGTCGGCGCTGGCCAGGTTGATGCCCTGCCCGCCGGCGCGGGTTGAGAGGAGGAAGATCCGGCGCTTCGGGTTGGTGTTGAACTCGTGGATCTGGGCGCGCCGGTCGTCCTGCGCGACGCCGCCGTCGATGCGGCAGACGGGCCACCTGCGGAGCCCGGTGCAGTAGTCTTGCAGGATGTCAAGCTGGGTCTTGAACTGGGAGAAGATGAGGACCTTGTGGCCGCGCTTGAAGAGGGCAGGGAGGAGGCGGTCGAGGAGAAGCATCTTGCCTGAGCCGGTCACGATGCTCTCGTCGATCGGCAGGCCCTCGTCGCTCGCCCAGGGGTTATAAAAGTTGTGCGGGCTGTTACAGACGAGTCGAAGTTGCATGATGGGGTTGCCGAGCTTCTTATGTGCTATTTCTCGTTCTGCAACGGGTTAGCAGAGGCTGAGCCCTAAGGGCTGAAGGAGACATACTCGCGAGCTCGAGAGTCTGCGCGCGCGCAAACTCTTCTTCATCCGAGCTGCCCTCCATCTCTCCACCATCTTCCTCCCCCATCACCTCGAAGAGTTTAGCCTCGAACTCGTCATCGTCTAGCAGATCATCATCGGAGTCGGCTTCCCTGTACGATCGCCGTCCCTTCCGGGGGCGGCCACGGGCACTCGCAGGGGTGGACTGCCTACTTGATTTGGCGCTCTTGGGAGCCGGAGACTCGGCTGATGACGGGCTCTTCCTCTTCGACTCTTTCTTTGTCGGCTCCGGAGGCTGAGGTTCGGCAGATTCCTGCTTGGCGGCAGGGGCAGCCTTGGGCGGTCTTCCACGAGGACGTGGCTTGCCCATCATTAGGGTAAAAGCGTTCTTCGCTGGCGGGCGGACTTCCTCTGACTTCGTGGCAGCCGCTCCACCTCTCGTTCCTTTTTTTGAAATTGGTTGGCTATCTGTATCTGGCTCCATCTTGACGCTGCTGGACCTGGAGGGGCGGGTGCTGCGGCTGGACGAGGATGCTTTGCTGTTGGCAGCCCCTGTGAGGCGTTCAATCACCTTGTTCTCCAGGTATGCCCGTGTATCGACGTTCTTGTCGCTGATTGCATTGTACAAATCTGTTTGCTCCTTCGTCATTGGTGCATACAAGACATATTCCCGCTTCTTGGGGAGATACTTGGCCACGTCGGCCTTGACTCTGCGCAGGAGGAGGGGTTGCAGCACAACATGCATCTTCTTCACGAGCTCCTGTTTGGTTTTGTCGGCAATGAACTCTTCGGTGCCTTCTTCGTCCGCCAAATCGCTGAAGTCGAACCAGCTCTCGAAGGCCTCCCAATCCCGGAAAATCTTGGGAAGCAGGAAATTGAGCAGTGACCACAGTTCCTTCAGGTTATTTTGTAAGGGCGTGCCGGTGATGAGGAGACGGGTGGCCGATGTGAAGGACTTCAGCTCACGAAAGAGCTTCGAGTCGAAGTTCTTCATCCGGTGCCCCTCGTCGATAATGATGAACTCCCAGTTGATCTTGGACAAGGCGGCACGGTCCTTCAAAACCATCTCGTAACTTGTGCACACCACGGGGAACTTTTCGGTTGGTCTCCCGCCATGGAGATGGCGCATGATCTTGGTCTTGAAGATGTCGCTGCGCTGCTTCGGCGTGCCGTGGTACATGACAACCGGTATTGACGGGACCCAGTGATGGAACTCGTCGAGCCAGTTGGACAGAGTGCTCAACGGGGCGACGATGAGGTGCGGCCCGAGATAGTTCTCTTGCTCGCGGAGCAACGCAATGAGCGATATCGTCTGAACAGTCTTGCCTGGCATGTGTCAGTGCGAGAGATTCTTGTTCAGTGAGAAGGCTGTCATACCTAATCCCATTTCGTCGGCTAAAATTCCACTCATACCCTGGATGCAAATCTCGTACATCCAGGTCAATCCCTCCAATTGATAATCTCTCATGGTGCCACCAACCAAACATTTCGGCTGCTTCGCCATGGTTAGGTCGTGTTCGCCTATCACCGTCCCGTCCAGAGTAGTGCCGACGCGTCCCAAGACTTTTGTCTTGTTGGTGAGGATACTGCTGAAGGCGGCACTCTGTGCGAGGAGCTGGTCCAGGTCCTTAGCCTTGGCTTCGCGCTCCTCCTTGCTAAGCACGCGCTTCTTCCACTTCTTCTTGCGCTTTTCTTCAGCCTTATCGTTTTCTGCCCTAGCTTTCTCTTCTTCGGCGGCGAGGATCTGCTCTTCCCTTAGCTTCGTGTAGCTCATCTTGGGCCTGTCCATTGTGACGCTTGCCGGAGAGGCGGGTGGTGGAGAAGATGGCGCACTGGTCGGATGTTGTGAAGGCGGACTCGTAAAGCCGCCGTCGGACGAGGAAGCGTAAGGCATTGCGGGAGAAGAGGAACAGTCCGGACGCGAGAATCACAACAGGTGAAACGAATGGAAGTATTGAAAGAAGCAATTGTGATGAGTGTCGCAATCTACACAATGATTGACGTCCAATACACCGAACGGACGAAGGACAGCGAAGACCGGACCTCAAATAGGGGCATCTGGAAGAATGGAAGAGAGGCAACGGAATTGGCGATCGGGGGGCGCGCAATCACGCGCTTGAGATTGCCACCAGCATCAAAACGCGTCGGGGGTCCGCGCGCTGTCACGAGCAGGGAACTTTCCCATTTTTACAAGGGGCAAGAAGTGCCCCACATTCGTTCTTTCAAACCCAAAAAAGTTGCTAACGTTAGTCGCTAGGGACGGGAACGAAAATTTAATTCCCTAAATTTCGGCCAAATCTTGCAATGAATTTCATTCAAGGCCCCATTGAAAAAGGCTTGGCGAAATGGAAACATGAGTCTCACAGCTATTGTATGGAAATCTAGGGTTAGGGTCTCACTCAGCGAACAGTTAGCACTCAATAACCCTAACCCTAACCCTCTACGCTCTGCCCTTATGTCTGGGTGATATGTTTGAAATTTGACTTTCCAGGCCTGTTTTGATTTTCCATGATCAGAGGGTCTCCGAGATCTCCCATCCCTTACGAGCCGCGCCGAGTCAACTTGCCCCGCATTTTCATCAAAATTGTTCCGAAGCTTCACCCCACCATCATCAACAAAGACAAGCTTCCCGCCGCCGAGTTTCTTTCTGCACTTCGATAATTGCCTGTCTTCGGCATCTGGCCAAATCCGCCAAGCTGTTCCCACTCCGAGCCGCCGCACGCCCCGCAGCAGCCCTGCGAAGCGTCTCTCCGTTCCTCCCAGTGTCGATCCGACCGTTGAACACCATCTCGCTGCCCAACCCACGCATCATGGCTGCCCTCGACGCCCAAAAGTACACTCCCGCCGAGGAGTCCGAGATCCAGTCGTGGCTCGACAAGGCGACTACGCTCAAGGTGGCCGCCTCGGATGCCCTCCTTGACACCCTCAATGCCGACCTGGCCTCCCGCACCACCGCGCTCGGCACCAAGCCCAGCAAGGCCGACGTCGCCCTGTACGAGTCGCTCGCCCCGCTCGTCAAGGCCTGGACCCCCGAGCAGCGGACCGGCGAGAAGGGCCGGCCTAACATTGTGCGCCTAGTCGACTTCGTCCAAAACAGCCCGCTGTTTGGTCTCAGCGCGGCTGACGCCGACAAGGTGCAGGTCGATGCCGACGAGATCCTCTACGTCAAACCCCCCGTCGATGCCAAGGCCGAGAAGGAGCGACTAAAGAAGGAGAAGGCCGCCGCTGCTGCCGCTGCCGTTGGTGGAGACAAGGCGCTCGTGGACCGGACAAAGGAGGCCGCCGCTGCCGTGGCGGAAAAGGCCGTCGAGGTGAAGGACAAGGTCGTCGAGGCTGTCGCCGGCGAGGGCGGTAAGCAGAAGCAGAAGAAGGAGAAGAAGGAGCGGGCGCCCAAGCAGCCCGCGCCTCCGCCGGCACCCGCCGTCATGTCACCCTGCCTGATCGACCTGCGCGTCGGCCACATCCTTAAGGCGATCAAGCACCCGGAGGCCGACTCGCTGTACGTGTCGACCATCGCCATGGGCGACGCGCCGGGCACCGAGGACACGTCCGAGTACGAGGGGCAGGTGGTGCGGACAGTGTGCTCGGGCCTCAACGGGCTGGTGCCGCTCGAGGAGATGCAGGGCCGCAAGGTGGTGGTGGTAGCCAACCTCAAGCCAGTCAAGATGCGCGGCATCAAGTCATGCGCCATGGTGCTCGCCGCGTCGCCCAAGCCCAAGGAGGGCGGCGAGGACGACCACAAGGGCCCCGTCGAGCTGGTCAACCCGCCCGCCGAAGCCAAGGCCGGCGAGCGCGTCTACTTTGAGGGGTGGCAGGGCGAACCGGAGAAGGTGCTCAACCCGAAGAAGAAGATTTGGGAGACGTTTCAGCCGGGCTTTACGACCACGGATGCGCTCGAGGTGGCGTTTGATGCTGGGGTTGTCGAGGCACTGGAGGGCAAGACTGGGTTGGGCAAGCTGGTGACGGCGAGCGGGGGTGTGTGCAAAGTGGCCAGCTTGAAGGGTGCCCAGGTGCGGTGATAGCATTCAAGATGTCATGTTTAAGATGTCATGTGTAGAGAGATACCAAGGGTACGACATGTTCACCAGAGGGTGGGTAAATGTCAAGCAAAATAGAGTTGTTAATGAAGCCATCGAAGGCAACTGAACAGAGGCAGAGACACTTATTTCCTTTTCCGACTCCTTACCTCTACCTTCCCTACCTACTCTTACCCAATGATTAGCGTCGCCGTCGGCGTCAGGATGCCGCCAGGAGTGGTCTTGCACCCAGTCGTGACGGTGTAAGTCTCGGTGGGAATAACGCAACCCGTCGTGCAGGTTGGGCACTGCTTCTTGGTTACGGTCTTCGTCGGCGTGCGCGGGCAGCAGTCGGTGCTGACGACACGAGAATACAACATCAGCCTCTTCTCTCATCTCTGTAACTCAAGGGGGAGAAGAAGGAGAAGAAGGAGAAGAAGGAGAAGAAGGAAAGAAGAAGGAGAAGCAGGAGGAAATCGGTCTTTACTTACCTGCACGGCACAGCAGTGGTCGTGATCTTGATGTACGCCGGGCACGCGATTGGGTCCGTGGGGACCTGGCACTTGATCTTGGGGCAGTCTCCTGCAACAGAGGCAGTTAGGGTTCAGCAGACAATTCACATTGATAGCAAATGATAGATGGCCGAGCGGCGTACTGGGCGTCACCGTGGTGGTGGTAGTGGCTGTGAAGCAAGACGTCGTCTTGCTGTAGTCGATGCAGGTCGACGGGAGACGGCCTGGCAAGGTCAGGGCGGGGGCGTCGTTCTCCGCTGCTGGCGCTGCTGAGCTGGTGGTGACGGAAATAAGGTGTGAGTTAGCCCTTCGGGTGAACGTGCTGGTTCCAGGTTGTGATGCGGGTGTTGTGTTGTTGATGATGGTGTTGGCTTACCAGATGACCACTAGCATGCCCAGGAACAGGAGGTTGTCGCTGAGGAGGGAGAGCTGCATCTTGGCCGGCGGTCTAGTGCGTATAAGCTCGGGATGACTGGAGTCTTGTTTGATCAACTTGATGCTTGTTTAGCTTCACAAGTACCTTCTCGTGGTGCTGATTGCTCCTCCAGCATTGGAGAGGTCCAGTCCATAAATACCCTCCCCCAATTATCTACATTCCTGGACAAGTCCCTCCTCCACGGCCCAGGCTCAATTTCCAGCTACCGTCTCATATCAGGATATCACCACTTGGGCAGCCCTCCGAAACTCCGGAACTTTTCTCTCCTCTTGACACTTGGCATCGAAAGCTATGCGTAGTGTGGTTGCAGTCTTAGAGCCGAGGACCCCTGGAGCCAGTCAGAGAGTGTCTAGCCCCAGACCGAAACTGCAAGGCGAAGGAGAGCCAGCTTCCGGCTTAACAAAAGTGTCCTCCGGCCTCGGTTGCTCCCAGTGTGTGAATGCCATTTCCAACGACGGTTCAACTCTCTCGTCGCAAGCTGCAGTGGCAGTTCTCCGTATTACCCCGAGGTTGCTCAAAAGGGCGTGTAACCACTACGCTATATCTTCCGAGAACAAAAATAGCATCAACCCCTGACCAGGAACCTGGTTTGACTTCAGCCTGGCCATTCATCAGCGTACCATCCGCTACTATATCCTGATTAACGGCCATTAACGGAGCGGCTGAATTCCACCAGCGAAGCTCGATGACCGTCTCCCGAACGCCCTGGGACCCTTGAAACCCTTGCAGCTACATATAAGCCGGACCGTCCAGACAAACAAGCTCGACAGGGTGCGGTATTGCCGGGAAACAATGTGCCCTTGCATATGACCCCCCTTCCATCACCCCAAGGGAGTGGAGGACAGATTGAGAAGGGGTGCGAGCATCGTAAGTATTGTGATGTACAAAGGGTACACACCAAATCAAGCCTTCAATTCTCTGTTCCATTCGTACTATACAAGAAATCTAGAGGCAGAGAACACCCACATTTACAGCAGGCATGTAAAATACAACGCCATGAACCAACCTCGCCTTCACGTGTAACGTCCAATATACACAGGCACATACATTTCCGCTCAAGAAAAACCGCCTCTTATCGCAAAACGCCATGCCAACCATGCCATTAACGAGTCAACGCCACAAAACGCAAACAGGGAAAGAAAGCACTTTTCTGATGGTACAATCGAGACGACAAGCCCCTCCGCCGCTACGACTGGACCGCGCGCTCAAGAAAAGAAGTACTTACTCTCCTTGAGCTTAGTCACGTCCAGGTTCCCTTTTTCGGGGATCTCAGGGAACGTGAGCGGCAGCCACAGCGAGATCTGCGCCATCCGCTTCTTGGTCGGCTTCTCAAGATCCCCGTGCATCGACTGGGCAAAGTAATTGGTGCCGGCGTTCTCGGCGAGCGCTACCCCGAAGCTCTCGGCTTTTTCCAGGAACCTCTTGTGCCTCTGCTCGTCATCGGACTTTGTCAGGTCTGGCGATGCTGCGTCAACCTCGGCATCAGCGCTTTCAGCCGCCTCCAGGGCCTCCTCGATATCGCCATCGGAATCGGTAGCGGCAGCGTCCAAATCCCCGTCCTCTTCCTCTGCCGACGCCACCAGGTCTTCCGCATCGACATCACTCGCCACCATGTCGGGCGTGGCGAGCGCTTCGAAAATGCTGGCCGGCGTCACCATCTCCCTCCCTTGCCTGACCTCCTCGGGATCAATGGAGCGGAGAAGCACCTGCCGGCGTCTCTCCTGCAGCAGCTCTTCTTTGATGGTCAAGCGGTGCTTTTTCCGGTGCTCTAGAATCTTCTTTCCCACGTGGGTGGTGGCGTCCAGTTTGGCCCGGTAGATCGATCCACGGTACCGCGCTTCAAACTCAGACTTGAGCCGGCCAATGACATCCTCCTGGTGAATCCGGATAAACGAGTTCCGGATCACGGCGTTCATGGCATCCACGTCGGCGGCATGCGTCCAGAACGAGTCGTGGACGGCGGCAAAGGTGAGGCCGATCTCGTGGCATTCCAGGGCCGAGAGCATCATGTGGCTCGCGTCGAGTGAGTGGATGAAGTTGGGTGGGAACGCCTGCAGCTGCTTCCTCCGGTTCACGGGGTCGTCCCGGTCTGAGGTCGTCAATGCCAGGTTTTGGAGACAGGTCGAGATCAGCCTGGTGCTGCTCTTCCTGTACGGTTGGACCACGGGCATCCGCAGAGGTGTTGTCCAGACGAGCGTATTTCGGAATTGCGCGGCAAACTCCTCCTCGCCTCCTTTCGGAACCTTCTTCTTAACCACGACCTCGCCGGAAGCCTCGGCAAGCCGATCCAGCTGTTCCGGCGTCATGGCCCGGCACACACGGCTGCCAATCTCGCCGAGCCAATGCTGAATGTCGTGGGCGCCGCGGAACATCGTCGACAGCGCTACGAAAATCTTAGATGCAATGTACGACGCGAGCACGGTGGAGCTGACGCCCGTTTCCTTTTCCATGTCCGGATACAGCGAATCGAGCTGCTTGTGAACCTGCTTCTTCGCGCCGACGAATGTGACACCATAGACATTGGTCATGACTGTCTGCTTGACAACCTTTCTGGTGATCTTGCCATCTATGGCCCGAGCGAAGTCGTTGCCGTTCTCGATATCCTTGCGGACGTGTTCCTGAACCAGCTGGGCAACGGCAGAGTAAACGTCCGAAGGGCGCTCTCCGGGCAGGAGATTCACTTGCTGCGCGCCCCAGGTGTCACCGCCAAGAGCAGCGTAGTGCTGCAACCCATTGCAGGTGCCATCCTGGTGAACCGGCAGGTGGGAGACAAATGCAGCGGGATTCGGAGATGAGAGGGCGGCCTTCAGCTCGAAGCATGTGGCAAGACACTGCCACGGGTCTTCGGCCCGCAGCCACCACCGGTTCCCGGTGAGCGGGTTATCAGCCGAGTCGAAGATATTTTCCAAGTTCTTGGTGGCGAAGTCTTCGCGCTCCTGAAGGCTAGCCTTATCAAACCCAAACACATTGGAGAGGTGGACCTTGAGCCAACTCAGGCCAGACTTTCCAAGAGGTCTACCCTTGGCGAAGATCAACAAGCCGCGCATATGGTCGGCGCCCATGTGGTTCAGGTAGGTCGGCAGGGGGTATGCGCGCCCGCGGAAGTCGAGATTGTGAGGGAAGTAGAAGGTCTGATCACGGAAAGCCCTGGCGATCTCCAGCTGAAAATTCATGAAGCACCTGACAGAGTGCAGCCCCGACTTTTCGTTCTCAGCCACTTTGACGGCCCTCAGCCACAGCCGCTTCTTCATCGGGTCGTCGGTCGAATCTGGCTCGGGGGGAATTGGGATCTTAGGGTCTAACGCTGGCAAATTCGCGAACTCCTCTCCCGTGTTCCATGCCTCCAGCATCACGTCGAAAACAGGGCGGTTGATCCTCCAAGCTGTTTTGCCGAGCACATCAAGACCCTTCATCATCTGTTCCATGTCCCCCCGTTCGATGGCAGCTTCAGCATATATGCGCTGGTCCTTTTCGTGGTTCTTCAGGCGGATGAGATTGCTGGGCGTGCTGAGGAAGCCACCCTTGTCGAACTTGGACCACGGCACGGGCTCAACGAGCATGGGCAGATGGCGAGCCAAAGCCTCCCCTCTCGGCTCCCGCTTCATCAGCTCCACCAGCGTACGGTTCGGCTGAATCATGCCCACTCTCCTTCCTTTCTTGAACTGCACGTTACGCGTGAAAGCTGGCTGCGCCTGTGCCACCCTTTCTTTCGTGTCTGGATGCTCCCGGTAGACAACAACTTTGGCAGTGTCAAGCAATGCCCCAAGCAACACGGCGCCGACCTTCGCCTTAATCGCCAGCGGCCAGCGGGCTTCTAAGGACGAGTATTGGCTGTCCAGCGCAGGGTTTGCTGCTGTGCTTGTGCTGGTTGTGGTTGACGTCTCTGGCGATTGTTTTGACGCAGAGTCATTGACGCGCATCAGGTGCCGAGCGTTCTGCTGTTTGCGGGCTCTCGATTTTGCGTTGGGTAGGCTGTTCGCAAGGCTCTGTGCGCGAATGTCCTCTTCGGCGATCTTGGCCAGCTGCTGAACCATGGTAGCGACCGGAACACCTTTGTCGGCACCGTGCATGGCGAGAATGCTGAGGGCGGAGAGGATGGTGACGGCAGCGAGACGGTTCGGTGGTGACTGCAACAGATGGGGTCCGTACAAACATCGATCCAGGTCTTCTAGGGACTTTCTTGGCGCCTTTTCAGACGCCTCGACCTTGGCTTGCTCTTGGGCGAGCCGCGCCTCTAGCGCCTGTTGCCAGTCATAAAGCTTCGAATTGAGCGACGGGGTTGAAAGCTGGCTATTGAGCCCCATCTTCATCAAGCTTTCGTTTTCATCTCGCCACCGGGCAATCGCAGCCTCCACGCAGTCCCGCTCCAACTTGGCTTGCACCTCGTGCCGTTGCGCAGGAGGGAGCGCTGCGATGTCCAGGCCTTCCGGGAGCTCGGAGAACAGCGAAAGTGTTGTCTTGAGTGACTTGAGCCCCATGCCCTTCTGGGGTGTGCCGCGGACTTCGGGCACGCCGGTCGGGGTGTCCTTCTGCATACTTCGATCGCTAGAATCCGAGGGGAAGGTGTCACCCTCGTTGGCAGCAGCCTCGGCATCAACGGCACCAAAGTCGGTTTCCGGCACGTAATAGGTCGGACAGATTTCAGCAATTGTCGACAAGTCTTCACTTGTGAGGACCTCTCCCAGGTCCAATGGCTCCGTGGCACTCTGCTGGGGCATCATGCTCATGTAGCGGTCGACCCGGGCTTTCAGCTTCTTGCCGGTCGAGGTAAGCAGGGTCGTCTTGAGCATGTAAGCGATTGTGATGGGGGTAATCGGCAGTCGTTCCCGGATGTGCAGTTCGAACCATTTGTGAACTTCTTCGGCCTTCTTACTCTCTGGCTCTGCCTCGAGCTGAGCGACCCGTCCTTGCAGATACTGATTGTGTAGTTCCATGGCTTGGTGAGACTCCAGGGTCTGTAGTTTTTCGAATCGCTTTAGAACCAGGGCGGCGCGATCCAGTCTGTTAACCTGCACACAAGCCTGAAATAGTGACAGCATCTCATCGAGATCCCCAGGAATTCCGAGCTGGTTGATGCGTAGCCTGGGCGGATATGCTTTTTGTTCGCCAAGGATCAATGGATCGTCGTAGGCGTTAAATGGCCTCAGCGCGTGAAGTGGTGGCTGTGATTCCTGGGCCTGGTACGGGGAGGCCATGTGACTGGGGAGGCCTTGGAACGGGACATCGTCGCCGAACGGGCGGTGCTCTTCAAGTGCCGTTGCGAGATTGCGCTCAAAGCCAGCCAGCGCGCGAAATGACTTCTTCTTCCACGGACGTGAATCGATTCCGGTCGTGAGAACCCGCCGGCTCTCGGTGACAGGCCGGGGAAGGTTGGCGCAGCATCTCGACGAAAGTCGGAGCGGGTTGGACGACGAGAAGAGATGTCGCATGGGAAGTGGTTGTCGCGTGGCGCCCGGTCGGACGAGCATTGTGAGGAGCAGGGAGAGGAGGAGGGGGCTGTGAAGTACTCGTCGACTCGTCGCTTCGAGGGTTTGTACGATGAGGGAGAGCGGGCTTCAACAGAAGGGAACGGAATCTGCTGAGCCAGACGAGGATGGTGATCAATTCATTAAACAGAAATAATAATGGTACTAAAACAGGAAAAGAGAATCGGCGACTCTGGTATAGAAAGAAAGCTGCTGTCACCTCGCCAGGGACGGAGGACAGTACATTCGCCGTGAAAGAAGATGGCAAAGATAGACAGTCGCCTGTACGAAACTTCGGCCAAAAGGTTTCAGAAACAAAGGTTCGAAAAAATTGGCCTCCCGTTCCCGGTGAACTCCAGGGCCTCGCGTCGAAAAAATCTCCACGGTAGGCGCGTTTCATTGGAGGATGTTGGTGCTCCGCTTGAGTAATTGTGGGGTGCTCAAGTTCCCGCGGACCCGCAGCGGTGGTCGCCAAGACTTCCACATGCCTATGCTGGTGCATCGAGCTGCAAAGTCAGAAAATTGATCCCCATTTGCCAGTCCATTTGACTGCAGTCGTCGTTCTCGGTCAACCGACTCTCCAACCTCAGCCCTGCAACATCCCCCCTCTTGAACTAGACATGTCTGCTGCAGCGATGGCGTCTGCTTCCACGCTGCGGGCTGTCCGCTGCTCCACCTGCAGTGCGTCGACCCTGCGGCTGTTCATTGGCAACTTTGCAGACGTCCAGGGTCGCGAGTCAGTGACGATTTCGAAAAGCAGACGTTTCGCCCCGACTGCCGCCGCGGCATTCTCAACTTTCCGGCCTACCCCGCGTTGGTTCGGAAGCCCGGCGCTCGAAGAAAGCGCAAAGCAGCAGCGGGACGATGATGATCAAGACGCCGATGCATCCTCTCAGACCACCTCGTCAGATGTACCCTGGTATCTCCAAGTCGAGCCACCGAGACACCCGACACTAATCCATGAACCGGCGCCGCTACCAGAGGTCCCCGATGGCGCCCCCAAGCTGATGGAGCCGCTCCTCAAATATGTGGCCGACGAACTAGGCTTGGACGACCTGTCGCTGCTCGACCTGCGCGAGATGGATCCGCCGCCGGCGCTTGGACCGGATTTGTTGATGCTTTTTGGGACAGCCCGCAGTGAGCGCCATCTTCACGTTTCGGCAGATCGACTTGTTCGATGGCTGCGCGGCCGCGGCATCGCCGCCACTGCAGATGGGCTGCTCGGTCGGAACGAGCTCAAGATCAAGCTCAGGCGTCTTGCCCGCAAGGCGAAGCTGTTGGGAAACTCTGGGGTCATGCGCGGCGGAGACGACGGTATCAGCACGGGCTGGGTGTGTGTCAATCTCGGCTTGGTTGGGGGGTCGCATCAGGAGGTGGAGATGGTGGACGAGCAGGGCAGGCAGATGGGCTTTGGTGTGCCACGGACGGGGAGCACCATCGTGGTTCAATTGCTGACCGAACCTCGGAGAGATGATTTGGATTTGGAGTCGTTTTGGAGGGACATGCTGCAGAAAAGCCTGTCGAAAACGAATTCATTGAGGGCCGCTAACGCTTCGAAAGCAGCTCGTCTCAACTCGTCATTACCGGCGCGGCCAACCCATGACTAGCACCCACTCTGGCTGCGGACCACCGAGCCGCTCTCCATTCTCGGGATCCGACTTTACACCCTGCAAGAGAGGAGTTCAGAGATTTTCAATTTGCTGGCGTTGCCCCGAATCGGCTAGGTATTCAAGCCACTCTCACTTCTGGACTCGGCTTACCTGGCGGTACCATCAACGCCTCCGGGTGCATCATCGACACCTCGTTTGTCCGCAGCTCGCGAGTGGTAGAGCATAAGGTGCTCAGGGGAGTCTTGCATCCTCGGCTGGCATCAATCACCTCTGCCGAGTCGATCGCGTCTGCTGCTTCGTGTTGAGCATGCGCCATAGGCCAAGGGTTGGGCGAATATTAGTTCTATGCCCACGTGTGTCATATTGGTGCCCAGGACAGCCAGCGGGCAAGGGGACTGATGTTCTCGACGGTGTCACTGCGGGATGGCTCACGGCCTCCCTCGCTTTCCCCCCATTCCCGTTTTTGGTGAAGAATCATCCGCCATGGCTTGAGCAACGGAAGCAGCGTTGGAAATTGAGCCAGAAAATGTTGACCGGACAGGGTCGTTCACGCCGATGAGGACATTAAGCACGACTGTTCCGATTGTACGTTGAGAGAAGCACTGCGAAGAAAGTCGGCTTGTAGGCAGATTGCAACAGTAAGACATTTATGTGTAAACATTACAAAGGCTGCCATGATGGCGAAGGGCCCATTGAAAATACCCAGTTGGTGGGAACGTGGTCAATCGGAGAGTATTATTTCTTGGCTGCTATACTCCGTGATTCCCTCGAAAGCAAACCCCCTTACAACTTTGATGACTCTCGCATCGCCTCCCTCAACATAGGCGCCACCTGCTTGCGACTACACTGAACCCCCTTCAGCCGCCAACAAACAAACCACCCGGCCCCCACGACGACAACCGCCTCAAAAAGAACAACGGGACACCGATCCAACCCAACCGCCCCACCAAACAACACCCCGAAAAACGTCACAACATGGACCAAGGCCACAATCAACCCCCAAACAACCAACGCGCCAAGAAAAACCCCCTCAGGCCCAGAAACAAACACGACAAACCCCACAACAAACCGCTCCACAACCGCCAACACCCCAAGCGCGAACAAAAAACTCCCCCAGCCCCGAGCCACCACCAACCACATAACAAACCCGAACCCCACAACCACCACCAACACGCCCACAACAACGCGGACTCACCTACACACCACGCAGCCACCGCCCACCATCCCGCAGTACGACAGCAGCAGAACACCGGCCCCCACCACGACCAGCCCGAACAAGGACGCTCACCGATCAAAGCCATCCCCGCCAAGAAAAGAGGACGGAAGGGAGCAGGAGACGCAAAAAAGAGGGAAGAGGGTCGACGCGAACAGCAAGACCGAGAGCGTGACCCAGACCCTCGACGGAGCCTGGCAGCTCAGACCGCCCGAAACAACGAGAACGCGGACAAGGACGACGACGACCAACCCAGCCACCCAAAACGCAACCGCACGACTAGCAGCACACCGAAAGCGGCAAAAACCGTGCAAGGAAGAGATCCAGGGCTCCACGAAAAGGAGCAGACACACCCCACACCAAACGAAGACCCCAGCAAGGACGGGGGGGACAGAAAACGCGAAGACCCCCGAGTCGCAAAGATGGCCGATGAAGCCCATAACATCCCCCCAAAAGCAACTGACGAGGAAACAAGAAAGGACGCTGCGGGCGACAAGGAAACAACACGGCGCACACGGAGCCAAACCGACGCGAGCGAGGCCACAAAACGAGAAGAGAGCGGCAGAAAGCAGAACAGATGAACGAAGACCAGCGAAGAGCCCCACAAGAAGCACGAGATCAAGGCGCGGGAGAATGAAAAAGGGCATAGAAAGGAAGGGAGCAGAGCAGGAAGTGACCAACTAGGCGAAAAGGAGACCTGAACAGACAGAGTCAACGTCCGAGGATCGGAACAGCACCAAACCCCAAAACCCTGAAAATCGACGGCAAGACTAACCACCCGAATAAAACACCACAACAAACGACACAAGACAGCGAAGCCCAGAGGAAGAAGACAACAAAGCCATCTACGCCAAGGGGAGCAACCCTAGAAGAGAAGACAGGCAGAAACCCAGGGCTGAAAACCCGGCGGAATCCATCCAGATCCAGGAACCTCCCCACAGCCTCAAGAAGATACCCGAGAGCCAGACACGCCACACCCAAAGAAGACGAAAGACCCTGCCGCCGAAACCGAACTGCGGCGGACAGTCCAAACCAGGCCGGGAGGCGGAGCTCAACGCCCCCCAAGCGCGTCGAACGAACGAGAAACGAAGAACAGAAACAAAAGAAGAAGACAAAATGAGCAACGAAAGACACATCGCACAAGACCACGAACCAACACAAACTGCCAGATGACCGGGAGCCACAGACAACGATCCGGGGCACCACGACAAACCGGCGAAGACCCTAACAATGCAACCCGACAACAACCAAAAAAAAAGAGAAGAGGGTCCACGGACATGGACAGGCCCGCGACCAGCCACCAGAGAAGGCGACCAACCCCACAGGCCCAAACAAGCGGTCACACCCAGACATAACGAAACGCACCATCCCCGAGCCGCCAAGCATCCAAGAAAACACGCGTGCAAAAAGAGCCATCACAAACAACGAAACACAACCAAACCGCAGCAGCCCGCGCCACCCCAAACAAACAAACAACTAAAGCCACAACACCAAAAAACCAAAAAAACACAGGAAGTCCCGCAAACAAAGGACGCACTAACGCCAAAAAGCACACCAAGCCACGCCGCACCGTCTCACAAACATCGAAACCGACACCCCCGGCACCGCCCCCAACAACAGCCACAAAGAACACGCCGACCCGCTCAAGCAGCGATCCGCCAGAGCCGTACCACCCCAGGCCCAGGAAGACGGCAGCAAACCCACCCGCCACAACGGGAAGCACAACACAGACCAAGCACATCCCGCCCTAGACGACGCCGACGCGACTCCAAACACCAGCGCCAAATACAACGCCGCTGATAACCACAACAACACGACCAAACTGGCCCAGTGCGGCCAGAAGCCCCTCAACCAAGAGACGGGCAGGATAGTGCCTAGCAGCGGCGGCCACAACAGCGGTCCAAGGGCGCCGAGCGCCCACGGATCCAGGAGCGACCATGGGGGGAAGCCGAGCGCAAACGAAACCAGGCAAACCCACAAAGGCACGGACGAAGGCCGGGAAAGCGACACGATAGGGAGTCTGCCCTCCCCAACGAGCAACAACAACGCAAGAGGATGACACTACCTCCAGCGAACCCAGCAAAAGAACCGCCACCACAAGGCCGCCCATCCCAACCACGCAGAGCTGCGCACACCAACTGACAACGACGAGAACCACCGAAGCGTCATCCCCAAACGCGGCAGCACCCACCAGGGCCAGCCAGAGCGCACCCAGCAGACGAGGGGCCAAAGGCGCGACCACCGACACCAGAAAGGGCTCCACACAGACGAACCGAACCCCAGCGGCCACGCACGAAATGCCCACAACCAGGACCAAAACCGCACGGCCAACCGGATCCTCAAGAGGCCCAAGGGACAAGGACCCGCCAGCGCAGGGATGGCCACCGAACGCCAGCCACAGAGGAGCGAACGCGGACCGGGGGAAGACTCGCGGCGGCACATGCCAAGGCAACTGCCACGCTGAAAACAGCGCCCAGAAAGCAAAAGCCCCCAAGCAACCACGCCCTAGTCAGCCAGCACACGCACCCAGAACCGTAAGAATACAGCCAAACGCGGCCAACGTAAACCACAACAGGCAACACGCCCAACACGAAAAGGCGGTGGGCACCCCCCGAGAAAGCAGCATCAGCCTCCGCAGCCCTCAGAGACAAAAGACGGACCATCCCACACACCACCCAACAAAAGACACAAAACCGCCCCATAGGCAAAAACAGGAAGACACGCAGCACCAGACCGCCACACCGGACAGCTAGGCCACCCGACCGTAACAATTGCACCAGACGCCACCCGCAAGAGGCACAAGCCAACAGGCCTAGCCACACGACACCACACCACCCCGCCCAGGGCTACCGCCCCAGCACGAGACCAAACCGCAACGCTAGCAACCCCCCCTCCGACCAGCAAACCCGAAACGCCCCAAAGGCCCCCCCCACCAACGCCCAACGCCAGCGTCCCACGACACCGCGAAAGCCGCCCCACAAGCCCCAAAACCTACCGCAGACCCGACAGCCCACCAAACTGGCAAAAAGAGCCCCCACACAGCAGCAACCCCCTCCACCGCACCGCCAAGAACCCACGCCGGGCGACAACTGTAGCACCTCTCTCGGAAGGGCAAGCGCAATCGAGACTACCCGACGAGGAAGTCAAGCATGCACAGCCACGCAAAAACCACAATGACGAGCCTCGAAATCGACAACGGAGGGACGAAAAAAGGCAGCCCAGCACAGGCACCGCCAACAAACACCTCAGGAACAAAAGAAAGAAGCGAAAAAGACATTGCCTCCAAAGAGGACAAAGCAAACCAAACAAACAGCGAGGCCACTCATGTTCCTCCACCAGAAAGGGGGCAACAAAAGATAAAGACGACGATAGGGCATGAAAAATGAACGCCGAGCCACAAAGCAACCCCAGCAGAAGCAACAACTGGAAACGGCCCAAGAAGAAAATGCAAACAACCGGGGAACAACCCAACAAGTTGCCTCGAATGGAGAAAGAAGAAGAAAAGAGAGAACCAGATGACAGGAAGAGAGGGCAGCTCTTATATGCTCCGGAACACACAGACACTGCCTGCTTCAGGATGACGTTATCATAATACCACGGCCGAGGGTTGCCGAGGCCATATGGGCTCAGCCCATCACATCAAGTGCCTTCTGCTCTATAGTAGGGTCGTAATACTACCTCTACAAATAGGCTAGCAGTTCTAACGAGGTGTTAATAAGAGTAAAGTAGGTCTTACGGAAGTAGGGGCTTAACTCCCACTTAGCCTTGCCTTTGAGGTATAACTCGATATAATCATCGAACTGCTCAATTATTGCGACTTACCCCGCAGGCTACTATGACGGTGCCTAACCTTATTTAGTGTGCTTGACAGCGACCAATGACTTTTCGCAGCCTGAGCGAGCAACATTAACCATTGGCACCATGTGCGCAGTCTCCATACAAATCACCGCTATGTTCGACTCCAAGAGTCCACATCTCATCACCGTTGCCGCCAAGCATTCATGGCGCCAGTCAATCGCTTGCCAACTGAGCTGGTGAGCGGGATAATATGCACTCATTTGGAGCCGCTTGATATATTTGCCCTGCGCCTGTCGTCAAGGGACGTGTCTGCCAAGTGTTTCGATCACTTCGCCAACCGCTTCTTCGCCAGCCTCCACCTTCTGGTTACGAGCCACAATCTGGCTCTCCTGAACGACATCGCCGCTCACCCTGTCCTTGGCACCCGGGTGCGCGAATTATGGATCACGCCGGCCCTATTTGGAGGCGACTATAATGAACCAAAGCACATTTTCCCAGCCAGAGATCCCCAAGCCGCGTACCGCCGCCACGTTCAAGACGTTGTTTATAAGGCCGCGGTAGAGGACCATCTTAGTATTATCCTGTCGGTTGACTTAAGGCGTGCCCTCGAAGATGCTTTTCAGCGGCTGCCAAACCTCAAGTCTGTCGGGTTGCGGCACCGCCTGCACCACACCGATTATCGGCTCCGTTTGGACTTGATCAAAGAGGGCATGGGATACAACGCACTTTGCGCAGCCACCGGTCGCGAACCAGCCTTGCCGTGGCTCGCGGGCCGAACTTTCCAAGGCTTCGTCAGTGCCCCGGGCCGCGTGTTCTCGAACATGTTGATGGCGCTAGTAACCTCGCACAAGAAGATTGACAGCCTGGACACCTGCGGCGGCTCATCCTGCTTCGGTCTGGATCTGGATGGTATCGAGCTCTCTGACGCACAATGGGACTCGGTCTTCTGCAGCCTAGCCGATCTGAAAGCCCTACATCTCTGCATCCGTGACCCTAGCCTCCGTGACCCTAGCCTACCTGACCCGGATTGGGCCACACCTACCCCGTCGGACAAGACACTTCAGGCCACGCTCAATATCATGGCGAAAGCGTCGCCATCTATCGAAATACTCAGCTTCTCGATATTCGGCTTCGGCGGAAAAGCGCGCCACTTCGAGTGGGCAGCCCAACGTGTCCGATTCGCCAACTTGTCGAGGCTTACGCTGTGGGACATCGAAACCAGCCCGCAGCAACTCAAGCAGTTCCTTCTCAGCGCCTCGCCGACACTGAGATGGTTCAAGTTCTGGACAGTCAGACTCTACTGTGCCGACGCCCAGGGGACCGGCGTGGAGGATGCGGACGCGGCGGGCAAACGAGCCTGGAGAGGAATCTGGGACTTCTTTCGGGACAGTATGAAGCTGCACCGCCTCGAGTTCAAGGCGCTCTACGGCCCGTCTGGGAGATTAAGACTGGTGGACGGACTGCACGGCCCTCACGGCTCGCACCCGCTCGTCCCTGCCACGGATCTGGCCTTTTTTGACGCGGAACTCGCCAAGGTCAGCTTTTGCGAGTGGATCGATCAGATCGAATTTGGGACAGATGAGGATTCGGAGGAGGAGCTTGGTGGCTTCGAGTTGTGATTAAGGTAGTCAGGGGAGGATCATGAAGCTCTTTGCAACAGCGAGGAGCAGAATTGCGGGGATGATGAACAGTGCTGACGGTACTGAAGCTTCTCTGGCGACCGAATGGCGTGCCATCCCAGGCTTCCAGCCGGGAATTGCCATGGTATGCTAGAAACTTCCAGGTTGACTCCGACGTTCCTTCCTCTCTAACCGTGACACGCTATCCATTATCTGCTCCGACTCCCTTTGTCGCCTGATCTAGCAAATAGATATCTCGCCCTTTGACGGACCTCCCAAAGTCGGAAGTTGGCTCTGCCGCGGCTATCACCCTCTTCGCCTCCTCCACCGGCATCCACAGGTGTCCAAGACCGTCGTCGATTTCTTCCTCAGTCAGCGCGGGCTCCCCGCTGTCGTCCACCAGGTCGGCAACGTAGCAGTACGACACTTGGCATTGAGAGAAGCGGAACTCTTTGGTGGCGGCGATGCAGCCGTTCCCGCGGAGCTTGATGAGGCCGCCTGTCTCCTCCTGGAACTCGCGCTTGGCAGCTGTCTCGTGGTCTTCGCCGGGCTCGAGCCCGCCTCCTGGAAGCTTGTAGTAGTTTTCTCGCTTGGCGTAGAGGATGGCCACTTCGCCTCTGGCGTTGAAGGCCACCACCCGCACGGCTTGGCGGTCAGTGTAGGGCACGGCGGGGTTCTCGGTGCCGATCACCTTGAGCGGCTGAAACAATGGCGCTGGCATACCGTGGACGGTGGTTTTCCGCTGTGCGAAATGTTGAGGGCATCAAGAGGGACATGACAGGTGAGACTTTCGGTGAGTGAGTCATGTTTGGCCTGCAGTGCAACGGTGAACCAGCAGGCAGCGGCTAAGCCTCTTTCGTAGCAAGGCACTGCGTCTGCTCTCCTGACATGCTGATTTCCCAAGCAACGGTCACCCAGTCGCATACGATGCTAATTTCCTAGTAGTACATTCCATTTCCGGCCGCTACCAGGTACTGTCATCGAAAATGGAACCCATCAGCCCGGAACGTCTTGTCCCTGGATTGCTTCTGATGGAGATCCAGAGACAACAGAAGATGGTGATCATCAATGGTGGTGGTTCATGCAGTGGTGATGCTGGATGTGTGATAGGCTCTGGTGGGCAGGGCTGTAACCGCTGCACCAGATGTGGGGCAACCCGGTCTGCCAAGGATGTGGGGCACCACCCATAACAGCTTCAGAAACGGCAGCAATGCAGTCCCTCCGGTCCGAGTCAACTCTGCTCCGCCCTTGGACACTGTATCCCTCCTCACGACAGACGAAGCCGCCTTCAGCCTTGACGAGGCCGTCACCAGGTTAGCCTCCTAACTCCCATTCGGCTGCGGCGACGGGATAATGATATACCTGGCCACGATCTGCAGGTGGTTATTCCTCACCTCCTGGTGAGAGCTCATCATCCGATCACGTCCCAAATCAGGACTCGCATTCACCCCAGCCGCATGCTCCACCCCAAGCACAACATCCAGAATCTGAATCAGCGAGCTCTGCCCGTTACTATTCCCCCCTTAACTGCCTCCACTCCCCCTTCCCATCCTTCCCTTTGTCAAAAAAACACGCCGCTCGGCAACTCGGCAGCAGCCATATTCTTTGCTGCCTGCTAAGAAGGGACGGATGCTGTGGTAAAAGACTTGTGGGTCGCAGTGGTTGTCCATGCGGTCTAGTAAGAGTCCTAGTTTTTGGATGTAGGTTGTCATTCCGTTTAGGGCGTTCGTTACCGCGCTGAGGGTAGAGGGTGAGGACTGGTCCAACTGAGAAGGGGAGGAGGAAAGGGTTTATAAGGCGTCGAGCATGATCGGGATGAGGTAGGCGCCCTAGGCTTCCATGGCGGCTGAGACCGAGTAGAACCGGGACTCGTCGCCCGTGAAGGTGTGCAGGGCTTAGAGGGCGTCGAGGTCGGTTGGGTCGGTGGTGGGGGAGGCGGAGGAGAATTCCAGAGGTTGAGGCTGGCGTAGGTTGCGACAGGGGGGATGCCTAGGTGGTGGGAGAATGCTAGGAGGGGGAGGTTATAGAGGGCGGGAGGATCTGGGTGAGGGGAGTTAGCTGACGACGGTGGAGCGGGTGGGCGAGTGCTGGAGAAGAAGGACGTACCTCGGCCGCTGTGTCACCGCCCCAGATGTAACCGTGTGCGAGGAATCCCAGGAGGACGCATGCTCGGCGCCATTCTTGTTATGTCGTCAAGTGGTCTATTGACAGAATAGGGAGGCGATCGACTTGATGTCGGAGGGTTTGCTCTGCGAGGGCTGTTGGGAGAGACTCTACCAAAGTCTCCCAGGCAGCGTAGGAGGGGTGTGGAAGCCTCCTGAGCGGTGGCTCCTCCGGAAGAAAGCCATTTGGAAGTGATTGCGTAGTCTTCCAACGACAAGGGCAATGTGCCGGCCTTGTCTCCTTCCCGGGCAAGGCTGAGTGCTTTCCCAGGGAGACAGTCGACGGTAGAGGGAACTACGGATGGGCTGTGGATAGGACCAAAACTGCGATTGAAGTATTACAGGCATAGACAAGATATGAAATAATCATTTGAAGCCAAACCGTGACATGATCTATACCAATAAGAACAGCGTTCGGTCACTCTCCCAGCCATGATCCGATCTGCGGAGAGTTGGAACTGGAGACGTTGTTCAAGCTTCCGCTCGTTGCCTGCGGTGTTGATGCTGGTCACCGGACATCGCCTGATACTATCCAGATACGCGAAGATGCCGGCATTGTAATTCAAGGCAGAATTTCATGATCAGCGAACCACGGGTCAATCTATCCTTGGAGCCCCGTGAAGACGGAACACGGCTTTGGCGATATCCTGATGAACGGAAATAAGTGGATCCAAAATAAGAACTTCGGGCCCTCAGGGCACTTCCACTTTCCTGTTTCGGTGCTAGAGAGCAAGATGTGGAGGACTTACTCGGGACCGGTTTGCCGGAACGGAGAGCGGATGACGGAAGACCGAACACGGAAGCAGGCGGAAGCACGGAAAAGTGGGGTCCCCGAGTTTGCCGTGGACCCGCCCGGGAGCTGCCTCGGAGCAAGACCAGACCGGACTCGGGAGTAATTAACAATACTGTGAATGTAAACGGATGTTGGTTGGTGTTTTGTCTGATGCTCAGTCAACTGATTGAAACATCCATTCATCACTTTGCACCACACATTATCACATTCCGCATTAACTTCCATCGCTCTAGACATAGATTTTCTACACCATGTCTTGCGATTATCAACTTCTCGCTCAAGACGTTCCGGACGGGCGAGAAGCCAGAATTTTCCTCCGGACGCGAAAGTCCATCGACTTCGCGAGGCAGCTGGATGCCCAAGACAAACTCGAGCCATTCGGAGCGATTTCAACATTCCCACCAAGGCCTCTTTGAAGAAGAGGGCTCTCAACGGCAGCATTCCAGGTGCGTATGCCCATTGGTTCATAGAATATATCGCTAACCCTCATTCTAGGGAAGACAAGCAGCGAATGGTGCCCAATGGCGAGAGTGCAAAAGAGTATGGCGTTTCTCAAAGCAACGGCGACATGGACGATGACGCCCCGTCCATATACTTTGTCGGCAACTCGCTGGGCGCCCAGCCAAAATGCACCCGGACAAAGCTCGAGACATGGGTCTCTGTCGGCGTCAACGGCCACTTCACTCCTCTGGAGAGCTCGCCTCTAACAGCCTGGCAAGACATGGCCGCCGACTGTGCGCAACAATCGCTTGACCTCCTTGGCGCCGCGTCGCCCGGAGAGGTCATCTATATGAACACGCTGACTGTGAACCTGCACCTGATGATGGCAAGCTTGTACCGCCCTACCGAGAAGCAGCACAAGATTATTGCCCAGTGGAAGCCCTTTCCCAGCGATTCCGTACATTCTGACTCCCTCCAACCTTACAAATGTCGTCATTATACTAACCGCATGCTCGTGCAGTACGCAATAGCCTCCCATCTCCAATGGCACGGCCTCTCGCCTTCCACCTCCCTCATCGAAATCCACCCCGACAACTCACAAGCAATGTCCATCTCCACCGAACACATCCTCCGCGTCATCGACGAGCACGCTGACAAAACCGCCCTCCTCGTCCTGCCGGGAATCCAGTACTACACCGGCCAGCTGTTCGACATCCCGCGTATCACCGCCCTCGCCCACGCCGCAGGCATCCCACAGGTCGGGTGGGACCTTGCCCACGCCGTCGGCAACGTGGAGCTCTCCCTGCACGACTGGAGCGTCGATTTCGCTGTTTGGTGCACGTATAAGTACCTCAATTCTGGGCCGGGGGCGATCGCGGGGATGTTGGTGTATGAGCGGCACCACCACATTGCACCTGCGTCATCAGATAGTGATTCATTGGGATACAGACATCGTCTAGCGGGTTGGTACGGCGCGGACAAGAGCGTGCGGTTCAACATGGAGAAGGAGTTCCGTCCCGCCGAGGGCGCGCACGGCTGGCAGGTGTCGAACCCCAGCGCCGTGGAGTTGGCGTGTGTGCGGGCTGCGCTGGGGGTTTTTCGGCGGACGAGTATGAGGGAGCTGAGGGATACGGCGGTTGTGTTGACGGGGTATTTTGAGTGGTTTTTGAATGGCTTGGTCGAGGACAAGGTTGGGATGGGGGAGGACGTGCAGCCGGCGTTTCGGATCATCACGCCTGGGGACCCGTTGGAGAGGGGGTTGCAGTTGAGTTTGTTGCTGAGGAGTGGGCTGTTGGGGAAGGTGAGTGAGAGGCTCGCGGAGGGAGGGGTGGTGGTTGACGTGAGGAAGCCGGATGTGATCCGTGTGGCGTCGGTGCCCATGTATTGCAGATTTCAGGATGTCTGGGGGTCCGTGGAGGTGTTCAAGAAGCTCTCAAAGAAGCCTGATAGACCGCACCATCGAGAAGCAAAGATTTCCCAAGCTGCATCTAGGTATGCAAATACCTTCCATTGCAAACCTCTAACTCTCAGGAACTCCAGTTGAACGATGGAAACAATCAGAACCTTCTCCTGCCGTCATGAGCCCTACTCCTTCCTAGCTCGCCCATCCATGACCGCATCCCTCTTCACTGACCACATCCTTCCCGCCGTCGACGACCGCCTTGTTCTCATTGTCCAGCGTAGCGACCCAGACCTCGACTAGCATGAATGGCTCGTCGGAGATATATGGTTCCACAACTGATGCCTTGAGCAAGAAGCCGCTGCCGAGGTCAAGCGACGAGACTCCTTTCGGGTCTAGGATCGGTACATCTAGGTTTGATGCGTAGTAACTCTCTAGATCAGAAACAACGTCACCATTGGCGAGTGAGCACCAACCCCGGATTCTAAACTCGTCCCTCCGGGACCCAAACGCCACCACGGCCGTCTCAAGACGCTTACGCCCAAATTCCGTGTCCTTGGTAGCGGCTTGGACACGCGAATACGGGCCACTCCTGCCGTGATATGGACGCCAGGTTCCCGTCCGCCTGAGTCGTGGCCCTCGAGTCTCATCAGTGAGGCGAATCCCATATGACCTGGTTGTTACCGCGATTCCATCTCCTGAGGGGTGCTGCTTTTCTTCAATCGAAAGGGCAACTGCCGAGCCCTCGATTGTCTGTGGCAGGAGCCAGAACGTGCGTAATGGACCGGCAAATAACCGTTCCTGGACAGCGGCTTTCTTCGCCCGCCCAGACTTGGGGGGTCCAACGTTCAGGTGAAGAAGCGTGAGCAGGAAGGTCACGTATTCAACTTGAAACACCGTTGCTAGAGTTCGGACCCCTTGTTAGTGCGGTGGTTTGTACATGTGGATAATTGCATGACAGCTGGGTGTGCCAGGTGAAATGGTACAGGCTGTGTATCTGCTCGGGTACAATACATGTGCTTACCATCGGGGGCGCTTTGAACCATGACTCGTAAAGCGCCATCCGTAGAGTCCTCCTTGCCCCCCTCGAGTCCGAGGGGTTCATGAGGTGCTCGATCCAATTAATCCCAGGATGGGCCAGAAGAGATTTCGAGGTGTACAGAAGTTTGAGACACAACACCGTCATTCAGAAGCCGAGTAAAATGCCGCGGGTTGCCCAAGTGTCAGAGCAGGATAATGGTCGGAAACGTCCCGGGTATCGGTCATATCTGGTAGTGGAGGATGACCTCGACCTCGCGGTCGTCTTCTGGCATTTTCCTCCCCATAATGGCCATGAAAGTAGTCGAGGCACTCGTCAAAGTTGGCCCAGAATTGTCCTCGCAACATGCGCGAAACGCAACGGCGAAATATTCGCAGACTTTCTGAAACACCTCTGGGAGGGAGCAAAACAGGGCAAGATTCTCCTGGTGACGATGTCATCGGTGTAGTCAATGTGCCGCGGATCGCAGGGATCACAGTACCCATGCCAGTATCAATTGGTCGGCCGTGACTTTGGCGATTTCCTGCTGCAGGCGGGCGAATGCTTTCTCTCATTCACCATAACGGAGGGGCATGTTGACATTGAAAAGCCCCATCAAGCAGTAAGCCTCGTCCTCCCTTCGGGTCGTGCGCCGTCTCGAAGCCCAGTACATCTTCTTAGCCACGCTGGCATCAACGAGGTCAAGGGCAAGGCTGAGAACACACTCGTCAACCTGACTGGCCCGGGATATGAATGGAGAGCAGCTGCGGATCCTTCTTTTTGCCGATGCAGACCTAGGTTGTAGTGTAGAACTTGACCTTTCGCGGAGCGATGAGCTCTTGCAGCGTCCATCCCCTCTGGAACCACCTGCTGCTTTCGAGTTGCGTCTCAGTACCAGCGTGGACGTCGCTGAGATAGGCGTTGCAGACGATCGAGTCGCGGTACCACCGGTACAAGGAGTTGATGGACTCGGACAGTTCGGCGCTACTGGACTTGTTGATGCAACATGTGTCGATCTAAATATACTCGAACTCTTGGTTTCTGGCAAGGGCGCATGCGCCCTCAACCTTGACGAAGCCGGCTTTTGCGCGAACCCTCGCGAAGTCACTGTCGACCAAGTCGGGAAAAATGACTTCCTCCTCTCCCCATGTGTGAGATAGCATAGCATAGTCGGGCGTCGAGTCGCCGATGAACTCTTCCAGCTAGAGAGAGCGTGTGTTGAGGAGTCTCATGGCGGGAAGCGTTTGGCCGATGGTGAGTTGTCAAGAGTAAAGGGTATCTGCATGATCGTAAGGTGAGACGGGAAGAAAGAGGGGTCCAAGTTGACGCGATGTTGCCGCACTCCGATGGGATTGGTTACAAATCTGGCACCTTGCATGATAAACCTACCTGCACACATGCGACGGAGCAACCGGAAGACACCGTGGCAGAAGATATTCCCAACCCGGAATAACCAGAAATGATAGAACGTTTAACGGAGTCGACAAAGAAGCGGGAGAGAGAAGCAAAGAGTCTAAGATACACCAGTCGAAGTCTCGCTAGCGCTGGGCAAAAGCTGTTACTACAACGCTAGGAATACACTTTCCTCGCTAGCTAGAGAGTTGCACTTTTCAAAAGCAGTTTTGGAATTATAGCAATCGCAGCCTTTCCCCAAGTATATAGGACATAACGAGCTAGGAGCTGAAGTGTCAGATATAGCATTCGCCTTATAGAAGGGGCCAGCTGCCCCCCCCCCCCCCCCCCACCCTCCCCCTTTTCCTCCTCCCCTCCCCGCTCCCCATTAAACCCCAACCCCTAATAAATAAATAGGATAAACCTTTCTTACGCAAGTTGATTAACGTACATTATAAGCGAGTTAGCTATATAAGCGAGTGAGCCACTTTTCGACGCTACGCGACCCTCCACCTACCATATAACACTCGACAATAACCAACTATGCCCGCCATCTTATACGAAGCTAGGGTAAACTTGGCCCTTAAATCTCTCCAAATTAACGAGAATCTAAGTGTACGAGCTGCTGCTAAGATCTACAATATTGATCGTATGACTCTTTCGCGGCGACGCGCTGGCAAACCTGCACGACGCGGCACCACGCCTGATTCGAAGAAGCTCACTCAATTGGAAGATGATGCCATTGTTTAATACGTTATTGAGCTATGTGCGCGAGCTTTCCCACTGAGATTGCGTGGTGTGGAAGATATGGCCAACCAACTGCTATGCGTACGCAACGTGCCCTCTGTTGGCAAGCTCTGGGCACACAACTTCGTCAAGCGCCAGCCACAGCTCCATACGCGTTTTACGCGTAGATACGACTACCAGGAGGCCAAGTGCGAGGATCTAAAAGTTATGGCTGAGTGGTTTGCCCTCGTACAGAACATTAAGTATAGTTGTAACGGTCCCAAGAGTATATTGCAACTAGCTAGTGACGAGTCTACGAGTTTGTCTCGAATGGAGAGAGAAAAAGAAAAAGAGTGAAACACTATGCAAGATACCTGCCGTCTTATACCTCCACATCCTTGGCCTGTGCGCCGATATCGAACAAGATAGAAGTCCACCGAATCTCGAGTCTTGGCCGAGAGTTTGCCGAGGCCTTTACGGGCCAAGCCCGTTACAATAGTATTATAGATGACGATATCTATAACTTCGACGAAACTGGGTTTATAATAGGCATTATCTTCGTAAGTATAGTTGTTGCGACCTTGGATAGCTATAGCTAGGCAAACCTGGCTTAACCTAGCAACCGTGAATGGGCAATGGTGATATGAAAGGTGAATGCCCTCGGATGAGCTATCCCTCTATTCATTATCTTAGCCGTACAGTACCACTTCGCCAACTAGTATACCGAGTGCACCACCCGGCCGACTGGCGCATCGCAACTACCGACAATGGCTAGACTACTAATGTAACGGTCTCAGGTAGTATATTGCAACTAGCTGATGACGACTCTATGAGTACACTGAACTTGGAGAAGAAAAGGAGAGACGACAGACTCTGGTAGCTCGCAAGCATACTTATCCTCGTAGGCGCGCTGGTCTGAGCGCGTTGCTAGAAGGTTCGGTGTGCTGTGGGGCGAGTGGGAATAGCCTCATCAGGGGTCTTGGTGTTGGCCGAGAGTTGCCGAGGCTCACACCGGGCCCAGCCCGTTACAACTAATACGGTAGGCCGAGATTGGATCAAGCACTTCGACGACCACACGGCGGCGTGGACAAAGAGAAAATACCAGCTCTTAATCGTCGAGGCCTACTTTGCCTCTATAATAGAGAGAAATATTCAGGGCGGCTTTCTTGGGGCTAGCCATTTGCTATATGATCTAAAGAGAGTGGTTCCTATATTGGATGTCAAGCTTTATATACTAATACCCCTAATCTTACGGGCAGGCACTATATAATATCAGGTCTTCTAGACACTACACAACCCTCGAGAAGCCGAAGTGCAGTCAACGCTCATTAAGACTCGGATTGCCAATCATCAAAATAGCTCTCTGACTTCGGTGTTGGCTGCTGTAGACCAGCTCACTAAGGATACAATGTCTGCAATGCACAAGGTAGCTCTCATTCAGTTAGAGGTCTCTTGTCACGGATATAGCCGTATGCAGACCTGGAGGGGCGTGAAGGGAGCGTCCCGAGCTAATCATTTAGGACATAGGTATAGCCAATCACGAAGGGAGCGCGAAGTCCTATCTTCGCTCCATCTAGGAGCGATAGGAGCGACAGGAGCGACCTCCGCTCCTAGCGCTCTCTAAAGACAACGGGAGAAGGAGGTATATATAGTCTACGATATTTATGCCTACGGGTATGACGGTAGCTTTCTCAGTAAGCAATATAAGCAGTTAGCTACACCTACTATTGAGATATTTGCTTGTACACTTATTATGAACCTTTTAGCTTCACCGAACCTGTCACAAATGAACCAACGAGAGTCAACAACGGCGGCTTACTTACAGAAGCCAGTGGGGAACGTAGGACGTTCCGAGCCAATCACTTAGGACCAATCGGAACGAGTCCTAGAGGTGCTCCAGAGAGCTCTCAGGAGCATGAGAGAGCACCAGTGCAAGGCCAATCAGAGGGCGCTTTAAGAGGCTCTCGAGAGCACCATAGAGCATTGGCTCTAGGTGGCTCTAGAGAGCACGAGAGAGCAACCAAATGCATCTAGTATATAGTCACTCGTTCTGGAGGACTC